ACACTATTTATTATTGGTTCAATATAGAATATTAAAAAAAAAAAAAAGAGTAAACAACTTTTTCCCACCCAAGGTTTGCCTTAATGACACTTTCCCACCCAAAAAGTTTTAAAATATCACTTTTCCATCCAAAGTTTGTATTCCGCTAATACTTAAAATATACTTCACTTTCTCGACAGATTTTCGGCGAGTTACTAGGAGCTAAAATAAGAGGGATTTTGTATAATGGAGGCCAGTGGATCGAACGTGATGACTGATTGAATATTTGCTATTGAAATCAATCAAAAATCATGTAAGAATAAGAAAACCTAACCTTACAGTGGCCAATAATCGGCAAGAAATCAGGTACTGAAGTGAGAAGAGTTTTGTAGAGAAGAAATTAAAGGTTCAAATGGTGGTGGTGAAGAGACTGTTTGCCACCGGAATCGGCCAGAATCGGCTTTGGGTGTTAACAAAATATAAATTTTGGGTGAGAAAGTAATATTTTGAAACTTTTTGGGTGGAAAAGTCATGGCAAACCTTGGGTAGGAAAAAGTTGTTAACTCTTATATGTAACTAAACGGAGATAGTAAATATCTCATCAATAACCACTCACGACCCGCCAACTACTGGTAATTATATGCAACTAAACGAAGACAGTGCCTGCGAAGCATCAAAACGAAGAAGAAAATGGAGAAAAGAGAAGACTTGAAGTTGGTTTTACCCTACCTGCCATTATTGGTTCGTTCATCAACTTTGTTTTGGCCATCGAAAGTAGTGGAAGCTCTTAGATCAACGGCGAAAGGTCCCGAACACAGCCGGGTCAACTTAAGAGAAGTGTTTTCTATGGCCATTTGTGACATCAGAAGGTCGCTCTCTCTCTTTGAACCTCTCGCGCCTTTTGCCCTCAATGGTTACGTGCTTTTCTTCGATAATGTAATTCTTTCTCTCCTGAAAAAAGGTCAGTATTTTTCATTTGGGTTTGTAGTTTAAATTTGAGTGAGTTTTATGAATTTTGTGTTGATGGGTATGTTTTTACTTGATTATTTGGGGTTATAGTTTGAATTTGAGTTGACTTTTATGAACTTTTTGTTGATGGATTATTTATTTATTTTTTTGGCTGGATGAAAGTTGTGTTGTTGAAGTATCAATGTGAAGCGAATTTGTGTCAATGGGTATGTTTTTTCGCTTGAGTTTTGTTGGTTTATTGCGATTGTTGTGATGTGAAATTTATGAGTTTTGTGTTGAAGGTTATGTTTAATATTTTGAATTTGAATTGAAATTTATGAGTTTTGGGTTGATGGGTCTCGTTATGCCATACAATCATGAAGAAATTGTTGGCTTGGATGTCAAAAGCTCTCTTTTGAAGATAATTTGGATAAGCATAAGATATTAGTGAATTGATTAACGAATAGCTAATTACATAAAGACATTATTATAACTGAAGCTGAATAAGGAGGATTTGTGCAGCTTATATCGCGGGCGGAATCAACAAAGTGGTTTGGAGAGGTTGTTCTGGCACTAGCAAATTTTCTCTTGCAGTTGCCCTGTCTATTAGAAAGTCACTATCAAAATGCAGATGATTTTCTTGGAAAATATGGCATCAAAACAGGTCTCCGCATATTGGGTCCACAAGAAGCAGGCATAGTGTTCCTCAGCCAGGTATCTTTATATTTGGGCTATCAATTGTTAGGCACACAATTTAGTGCTCTGGCCACGGCTTAAATATATGGGGTTTTTAGGTCTACTGAAAGATGTATATAAGTTGCAGAAGTTCTGCAAAATTGATATTGCTTGTGTCATATAATCTATTAGATAAGACAACACCCTTATCATCTTAAAAATTGTTTCTTGGCCTTTTCTAGTAGTTTCATTGTTTATTCTTCTTCGCTTTCGGTTGTTTTTCTAATATATGGCGTAATCATTGATAGTTTAAATGTTGCTTTTCAAGAATTGATTGGTACTCTTCTTGCATGCCCTTTCTTTTGTTTGTTCCCAGTCACCGAATAGAGGTGCAAACCATCTTCCGGCCATCAACTTTGATGAATTGTTTGCTTATGTAACCTTAAGCTATTTTTATTTATTTATTTATTTTTATAGTGGACCATTTGAACTATACCATAAACCTGTATTAGAGATATCATAGTGAAATATGGATATTCTAACATGTGTGATACTTAGGCTTGTGGATATTTGCATAGTGTGATGGATAAAGTGTTTTGCACCAATGGCTAAAATTTGAAAGTAATTACGATTTGGGTAAAGATTATTATCATTTGTTGTAGAAAACAAACATTAGGAATTTCCATGTTCACCTGATAGTTTTAATGTCTCACTATGAGCAGGTGTTATTATTTTTAACATAAAGTTTTACTTCATGAGTTAGCTATTTAGCTTTATGGTTGATTTGATTTTCACGCGTTCGGGTGTATCCCATGAAATCAATTGATTTTTTCTTTAGTTTTTATTTTTTTGATTCTCAAAGCTAGTAACTGAATAGTGTAAAACTTTCATCTTTTTCAAGAGTCTATATGAAAGTGCGAGTGAAAATAAGGAAAATAAAATAAAGCACTATTGATTTTTTTATTCTTAAATGATCGTACATTATTTTGAAAGGATATCCTCATGTATGCCCATTGGCTGTGTCTCATTTGAGCAGAAGGTTCCTCCTTTAGACCATCGTCCTTTATTCATCTCTTATCCTGATGCTGATGCATGGAGTAAATCCGTCATACCCCTCTGCCCTTTTGAGGTAATTCAAAATACTTATATAATCTATTGTGTTCAATTTTATTTGTTTAGTTTCACACTTTTTAGCCGTTGATGAGGCAATTTTATACTTTGTAGACTTACAGTTTAGGCTTAATAGAAGATCACTCCACCGATACTCTTCAAGTGGATTTTGCAAACAAGTATTTTGGAGGTGGTGCACTTCATAGGGGCTGTGTGCAGGTAAAGTTTTCTTGTTAAATATTAAGATTGTAGAGTTCTTTATGGTTCGTGCCTATTTAGGTATTTTTCGTCACCTATATCTTAATTTATTTTCCAAGAATTTGTTCCTTTGGCATGCATGCCTTCTCTTTTAAGTTGCTCTCCTGCAATGTTTGCCTTCTCATGTATCACACGAGCCATTATCTTCTTGCATTCAACTCAATTGTAAAATCAATGATTTCTTAATATTGGTTATTATCATCACGATCTTACGTAGGAAGAGATCCGTTTCATGATCAATCCAGAATTAATTGCTGGGATGCTTTTCTTGCCTTCCATGGCTGACAATGAGGCTATAGAAATTAGACTATAATGGGTAAGTCCAAGATTTGATTCAATGGAGATACAGACACATAATAGGATGCTTAATTGTCCTTCAATAAGAGCTTAAAATTAGATTGTTGTCGAGTGAACTACTTTGCTGTATAACTTCAATTTTGTGATGATTTACAGAATTTATCCAATAATATAAAAGATTAGTGGCAAGACCATCTACACACTTGAAGGATTACGTTCCTAAATACCGGGTATCTCATTGTAATTTCATTGAATGATAATTTTAACCAAAGTTTATTTTTCCAATCGTCCAACTCTTATCTTCTCAGAGGCCTTTCTCTTCCTCGAATTAGAGAGCCAACACATAACCCCACCACTGTTGACCAAGGTTGACTTTTCATTTTAAGAATAAAATTGTAAAAAAGGAGGAAACGACGTCGTTTCTCTCTTTACTATTCTTCTCTCTCTTTCACTCACTTTTTCATATAAAAGTGAGCTGAATCTTTTTGTACTTTATCAATTGAGCAATAACAAAGAATTCTCTCTCAAATTTCTTCCGAAATTCCAGTCTTCTAAGTTTCACAACCACCTTCATTGACCAAATTTTTGGATTTGGTATTTTGTGCTTTTAAGTCTCATCTGTTCTTGATTCTTTCCTTGCAATTTCATTATAAATTTTGGCAATGTAAATTTAGCACAAAAACATATCTAATGCAAGCCTCTTAAATAATAACAATAATAAAAATTATAGTTAATTTTGTTTATTGTTACCAAGATTCAACAAGTTGCTGGTACAATCTACCTTAGCCTAAATTAAAATCCATATCCCTCATGAACATATGTAATGCAAGTTTAATAATCATTTTCAGAAAATAATATTCTGAAAATAAAAATAATGTACTCTTCTGAGTTAAGAATCATAAAAACGAGAAGAATAACTTTGATTAACAGTTAAAAAATATCTTATTAATATATAGTCTCGATAATTTTTTTTATCAAATACTTAACTAAAAAGTGCTTAATGATTTATTGTTTTTAACTGAAGCTCTAGATAAATATATCTAGAGATAAATTTTATTCCATGTAAAGAAAAAGTACAAAAGGATAGTAAATCAGAAACTCACAGCAAGTGAAGAGTTAACAAAGCGGTAAATTCCGCCATATGAGGCTACTTTGTTGAAGCCCAATGTTAGCAAAGCCATCTGCTGCCGGGTTCCCATCACCAAAAACATGAGAAAGTTGATATATTTTGTTTTAGAAATGCAATTCGCCCACCGGATTCGAAAATTCGAAAATTGGCCGAGGAGGAAGAAAGAACAGCTGAAAAAGAAAAGCCAAACTGCTTTATGATTTTGATAATTATGTTTTTTTCTTGTTTTCTCTCCTCTTTACGAAGGGATGAAAACAAATTAAATTATTTAATTCCTCTAAATGAAAAATGAAAGTACATGGGGAACAAGTTTTACTGGCTTTCCAAGAATAACAAAAACAGAAAAATGAAAACGTAATATAACACGGCCAGTTCTCAATTTCTCAGCTCCCTGGAAATTAAAGTTGCCTGCAGATTGTTCTTCTCGTAGCAGCAACAGGTTGATTTCTCTTCGAAGTTAAGGCAAATCAAACTTGGGACATGGAATCCAGATAGTCTGAATATAGTTTCTACATTAAATTTAAATGCAAAAGTTTCTAGAAAATGCAGATTGTTTTCTATAATTTGTTTATAGAACACAATAAACATAATTCCATAGGTCTCAGATATATCTCTGGCCTATAGCACGAACCACGATTATATTATAAACCAAACAACGAAACTATCTGACCAATCCATTGTGTTGCTTGTGTTCACTCCCTGAGCAGCCATTCATTGCTCACGATCGACGATTAATCAATATATTTTTCAAGTCATAGGCCATAAGAGCAAAGGCATCAACGTTTGTCAGCGCTTGAATAGTTCGTTTTGAGACGGGGAGCTTTGATGTGGACGGGTTAGTCCGAAGCCGATTCAGAAGTTCTTCTCCACAGAAGACCACTACAAAAATATTTTTAATATATATAAGAGGTAATGGATTTATGTAATTTAAGCTATTTTAAAAGCATCATCAGTAGTTTTTTTCTGGTAGTGGAAGTAACCTTCCTTAAGAGGATCATTTCTTTGTCTGTCAAGCACTGTGTTCGAAGAGTCATTTGTTGAATCCTCATTGGAATCGGAGGTGTAGATCCACAGCTTGCCTTGAACCACAAAGATCATCTTATGAATTGGGTCGTTCTCCCGGATAATGCAAGTCTGCTCACTAAAGAAAACTGGCTTCAGATAAGCACAAAGGTCATCCAATGAAGCATCATTCCAATTCTGGAACTCTTCCACCTTGACATACATACAAGAATGAGAATGAGTCATTTGTAATTTGTAATCTAAATGTCTAGAAGTTTGTAAGAAATAGTAAAAGATATAAGAACTCTTGAAGAAACTCACTTGTTTTAGCAGTTCTACGCAGAATTCTTTAGTCATGTCATTTCTAAGATCCTCGGAAAGATCATCGAACAAATTTTCTATATTAGCACCTTCAGTGTCCCCTGTTTCACTTTCCTTGCGCTTTTCACTTATCACTTCAGTTTGGAGATCCTTAGACAGCTTTTTGAAGTGCGTCGATTGCTTTGTCTCTCGCAACTTCTCTTCTCCCTTCTTTAATTTTTTCGTGTTCGACTGCAGATATACCTGTTTCACAGATGAGGAGATGGTGTATATTTTAGCATTTACAATTAAATTCCGAAATAAGAAGTTAACAGAGTAAAATATACGAACCTGCATTTGTCCGAGAAGAAAGTAAAACAAAATCACTGCCGTGTAAATTATGATAAGTACAAAGAAGTTTCCAAGTACATCAGTACCCACAGCTTCAATGTTCGAACCAAAACCACTGCAAAAATTGAAATCAAATGTATAAATATCATGTCCAAAAATTGAAATGGAAAATTTGTCATAGAAATTTGAGATACCAAACATGCATTACTGTTAGATTTCACATCTACCTGAAGCGAGGAAATATGATAATTCTGTCATGAATTATTAATATTAGAAAATAATTCATCCGATTGTCATTTTAGTGAGAAGCTAATTGTGACAATGAAATTCAGTTATAAAAAATAAGTGCAGAAGCTATATTGGAGGTTGCAGAGTTAAATTCATTTTTGTGTTTTCTTTAGAATGTGCGTTTGTTTGTGTTGAGGTGGCAGATCAGAAGGATTGCCAACCTGGAATAGAAATTGTATAAAAAGATCTTCTTGTATAATGTTTTAGTTAATGAAAAATCAGTTCAGTCATAAATTGCTTCTTCTCTCAAATTCTCCAGATCTCTCTCTTTTCTCTTAAGTTCCTGTTATTTTCTCACTAATAGTGGAAATGGAGAGGAAAGAATATCATACTACAAATTTATGGATGGATCCAGCAAGAAATAATAGTGTGTGTTTATTTTTACCACTTTTAATTTATAGATCGACTAGCAAGGGTCTTCCTTTTTTAAATGTAAATGATTTACTATTACCCAAAGAAGTATATCAATTTCAGAACAGTTATTCCTTAGTAAAACCACTTCACAAGAAGAAGAAAGTATATGATATTAATAGTGCACAAACCTGATATTTTGCATGGCCCATTGAAAACAATATAAAATCTTGATCGCAAAACCTCTCATCTCCAGAATTCCAGACTGATGGGCATCACGGAATACTCCAAAATCATACTCGGTTGTATTTCTTGAACAAAAATCATTCATAATTTTGTACGCTTCTAAACTTTCATTACAACGTAAGAAGCGGTCATAATTGTGAGTCCCGCACGCTTTCGCCCAACATCTGGTCTCTGTGTCTATGGCTAGGAGATACCACAAGGCTCCAATCCCCTAAAACATCAGCAACTCCTAAGTGGATAAAAAATCTTGGAAAAAAGGGTCAAATATTTATACAAAGTACATCAGTCTCTCTCTCTCTCTTTTTTTTTTTTTTAAAATAAACAAATTACGACTTATTTTAAGATAAAATTACTAGATAGAGAAAGTTAAATTCTGTATAACTTATTTCTAAACACTGAAAATCTTAAAAATAAATAAATAAATAAGATTACCTAATATACCATTATTCATAATAGATATAAACTATCATATAAGTTCTAAATCTTATTTATTTTTAAAAAAATTAAATATGTTGACGATTATTGATTAATACAGTAGTCGGAATGGGCAGCCTGCTATCAAACTTTCTCTATCAGATCCCGAAAACAATAAACCTTTTTGTCTCTAAAATTTATATATATAAATATATATAGAACCTTTGAATATGATCATTTTCAAACTAATATTAATTCTTGAGCACATTGAAAATTTTTCCAGTCACCAAATTCCAGCGGCTGGTGTCCGGTTCACTACTTTCAAGTTTTTAAGATATTTAAATTATTTGATTATAAAATAGTGAGATATAATTTAATAATGTAATTAATATAAGGATAAATTTGTAAAATATAAATATAATAACTTTTATTTAGAATCTCTAATTTAAAAAAAAAAAGAGGCACGTCACATGTTTTAATAAAGTATAAGGTGACACTGAATGTTAAAGTAAAAAGGTAAAACAAAAAAACTAACTTTTGCATCCAATAAACCCTTTGTGTTACTGAACTTACTTGACCCGAACACACGTATAAATAAAAGAACTTAAGCAGCCATAGGCCTAAGGTTGCTGATGGAGGAATCGCTTCTGCAGACAATATAAACAATCGAACTACTCTTGGAAGAGTTTGCAATAGAAAAGTCATTATTACTCCGTGCAAAACTACGCGGGTTTTTGTTATAGGAATGAGAATAAGCATCACCTGAACAGGTAGAAGTCCACAAGGGAAAATGTTTAGTTTGATTCAGCCCTAGTCATATCTAAAAGAAAGAAGATTAAATTAGCTGTAAGAGTGTCTACCATACCACTGAGAACGGAAACATGCATACTATAGACCAACATGTGTGATGTATCCCTGCACCTTTTGCTTTTTGTAAATCATCACGCAGCTCTAATTTCATGTAAAGTATTACATTAATGATATCAACTACTGTGTGAACAACAAAAATTGTCATCCCAAATTTTTTGTCCACTAGAACCCACTTTCTATCATCACCCACAAAAAAAGTATAGAGCACTAATGGATCCAATAAAATTCCAATTGCCCAAAATGTAAGCCTCCAAATGCCCTTAGCTCCATGATTTTCATATTTTGAATGCTGTGGACTTCTTTGGGAATTTCCGGTGCCTGAATTTGTTTGGTTTCCCTGGCCTATATTCAAACGCACAGAAGGATAAGGAGCCTGATCCGCCCTGATAAAAGAAAATCTAATCAGTATAAATATGCTCTATACAAAATATGCCAATGAAACTGTTAAGAAACTGGGGAAAAAGCTCAAGTTAATTCGGCTGCTCAACTAAATGCTTACTAGAAGTTTTGAGCTCATCAATTAGCACAAAAAAATCACTTACATGGTCGACAACTAATAGTTACCAAGCAGAAGAAGAAAAGACTTTTTGAGTGAAGAATCTTCTTTATTGTGCTCGATCCTTCATAAAGCAGCACTTTTATAGGAGGGAAATTTTGTCTTTTTCAGATGGGGAACGTGTGACACATTTAGGGACAAAAATGTTATTTTTCCTAACAAAATTACGTGTCTTCTGGTTGGCACTTGGCATGACACTTCATATCACATCTTATGTTCTTATAGTACAAAGCTAATATGAGATGGCAGTCCGTGTGACAACTATTTCCCTTGACGCAGAGCGAAGAAGAAAGGAAAAAATTATACATGTTTTGTTTTTGGTTTTGCTCAACATAAAAAGTAAGTTTTACTTAATCTTTTGTAATTATCTTAAAAATATTAATAAATATATCTTTAAATAAGTGTTTTTTTTTTTTTTGTTCCCCTCTTTTGAAGTTATAGTTATGGCTTAGTTAATGAAGATAGATTTTTCAACTAATTTTGTGATACTGGGATTTTTCTAACCTTATTATGATTAACATCTATAATGAGGTTTTCAATCCCGTCAAGATTGAGTTTCTTTCAACAACTTGACATCAGCCTGATATCAGAGCCTTAGTTTCTTTTCCTGGTATTTTTCCTCCTTTCTCACTTTTACTTGCAGGTAGCTATTATTTTAGCTTTCCCTTGCCTAGCCATTACTTTCAACATTTTAGCTGTACCGTAAAATCATGTGATCCTGCAATAATGGAGTCTTTTTTCGATCCTGTGGACTCCATCAGTCCTTAGTGATGATCAATTGATGTTACTATAAAATCACCTGAAACGATTTTAAATAAATTTAATTAGCGGGAGAAAATACTTTAGATAGTGATAATCAATTGATGTTACTATAAAATCACCTGAAACGATTTTAAAATAAATTTAATTACCGGGAGAAATACTTTAGATAGTTACAGCTGCAAATCAAGTTTTAATAGATCAGAGAAGACAAAGAGATGACATTATGGGGGCGTTTGATTTAGGGAATGTTAAATTACTGAAAATATTGGATTACTAGAAAGATAGACTACCTTAAAGATTACTGAGAAAAATATATTATCTTAAAGATTATTGAGAATCTTTAGGAAAATGTGTTTGGTTAGTTTGTGGGTATGTTATATTAATATGTTTGATTATCGGGAATAAATTGGTGGGTATCTTATTTAAATTACTAAATTGTCCCATTTTTAAATATTAATATAATATTATTTTTATTATTAATTTTTGAATAATTTCATTTAGCCTCCAATATTTCAGATTTAGCTAAAACACCCAGGCTTATATAAAACTTTAATTTATGACGAAATCAACCCCACCTCCTGCCGCCACCACCAACCACCACAGGCAGTCTCCGAAAGTCCCCCTAAACCCTAAACCGTGACCAAGAGGCTCCGATATGGCTGTTTCTGGCCATATTGATGGTCGAAAGAGGCCATAGCAGGCCGGTTCTAGCCGCTAACGGCCAGATCCCTGGCTGTTAATGGCTAGGGATTTGGTCTTTAACTACCAGCTCCATCGATCTGGCCTGATATGGCCGTTTTCAACCAAATCTGGCCTGATATGGTCGTTCTCGACAATCAATATGGCCAGAAACGGCCATATCGAAGCCTCCCAGAGCCTCCCACTGTGTCTCGTTCTTTTTTAGGGACTCCGGCTATTTTTCGACCGCGATCTGTGGTGGTTGACAGGCTGTCGACGGTGGTGGCTGGGTGGTAGTGGTGGTAGTGGCTGAGTGACAGTGGTGGTCTATAAAATGTTTTAAATATAAGGGTATTATTGTCCAAAATTTTAATTAAATAAGGGTAAAATTGAAATAGAATATTAATGTAAGTTTATTTTAAGATAGGAGTATTATTGTCCAAAACTTTTATTAATAAGAGATAAAATTGTAAGAAAAAAAAGATAACTCTGATAATCTTAGAATATCAAAAAAATAGAGATAATTAAATTACCTCTAATATTACTAATAATAATCACTATTAATATTTGAAGATTACCGATATATTATATTACTTGACAACCAAATATAGTAATCAACTAACATAAGGTTACTAAACCCCCAATAATTTTATATAACTCCAACCAAACGCTTCGATTGTATATCGAAAGTAACGTAATTTAAAATAATAAAAATATTAATTAGAAGGGCCCGTCATTCATTATGCAAGTATTTATGGAGGAACAGAAAGAATTAGACAAGTGAATCCCAGCTGGGAATCAATTCCTTTAGAATTGAATGGACATGACGTAGGTCCTCTTAAATTATTTTGGAAGTAATAAATAAATATTGGAAATATCGAAGAAGCATGCAACATTGACTAACCTCCAAATTCAAAAAGAAAAAATTTGGTGCAACGATATATATGCATAATTCATCCAGGCAGCTTCAAATATCAGCAAGGATTCAAGGAATTGGGACAGGGTAAAAAGGAAAACGTGGACCCCTGCCCCTATCTGTCGCCTGTCGGTCATCGCCTCGAATTGCTCGCCTACCCTAAAGGTGACACGCCTCCTTTACTTTGGTTCCTTTTTCATTCATTACAAAATTTAACGTTTTCCTTTTTATGATTTACATACTACAATCTTTCTAATGCTGCGGTCCCCAATGAGTGTTCATGTCAAGGCTACAGACAACTGACACTAATCCATCAACCATCATACTCAAAATCTAATAAAGGAGATTTTCAACTTTTTATATAGAATTTGAATCCCATGTACGAGGTGTTAACATCAGAAGGATCTGGTAAATCTAACGGTGGATATTAGAGTTCAAAATTTGATTACGTACATACATATTTGATAACATAATACATACATACACAATTAGCTATGAGATGATCTTAATTAAGGCTTAATTACTTTGATTGACAAGGAGTTAATTCTCATCGATTGTTTCATACTGTCTCACTCTCATCCAGAACTATTTCAAAAAGCATAATGAAAAGTGTTATCAAATTGTGAAAACATAAAATTTAATTATTGATTTAACGTTTACAAAATAATGATTCAAATTATTAGAATTTAATTATTGAAAGTGAATTTGATAAATAACAATACAAAACACATGAGGCTGTTACTTATAAGCTGCAAGGAAATATCAACGTTTGAAGCATGTTACACATATATTAGTCACTAACAAGTCACGAATCATATCTATGCACATGACATATAATTGCTTTCAGATTGATGCATACATCAAAGATTATCCGATCAATAAGGAGATATTTGTTTAGTGTGATCAACCACTAGGTACCTCATATATGTCAACACCAAAGAAATAAAATAATTTTTTGTTTTCCTTATTATTATTTTTTTTATAATCGGAAGATGAGTTTAATCAAAATAAAAATTATTGCATGTAGTACTATTATTTCCAACAAAGATATTGATTATCAAGTGTGCTTTCTATAACATCTTACTATTCTAGATTGTATGTAGTATGGTCTACAACATTATTATTAGCTTGAAATGATACATATGCTTTACTACTCATATAATATCATATCAATACATATTAGGTAAAGATGATGAGCGGTGACATAACCTTAATTAATTAGTTAAGCAATGTTACTTTAATCAGTGGATCAAAGATTTGTGAAATTAATTAAGTGTGAGTGAGGGCGTCCTCGTTGGAAGTGGACCCTAATTTGCAAGTCTTGGTCAAGTTAATCATAACTTGAAGTTTGTCCAATTTGATTAGTGAATGAATGTGATCAAATATAATTAAGTTTTAATCACGGTAAGTAAAATTATAATTTGTTCCACAAGTAATTTGATTTAAGCCTCAAAACATTACTAATTAACTAGTTAGTTAGAAACAATGGCATAAGAATCTATCATGTAATCTGTTTATATTTTGTCTTTAACCAAATTAATGTAGCAAGAAAAGGATGAGACACCTGCCTTCCCTTTAGTTTAGTTTTGTTTTGTTTTTCCTTTGACACTTGCTCATTTGTGTCATTCTGAGAACCATTTCAAAAAGACATAATAAAAAGTGTCACTCAATTGTTAAATCATAGAATTTAATTGTTGATTTAATATTTTATAAAATAATAATTCAAATTAATAGAATTTAATTGTTGAAAGTGAATTTATCACATAACAATATAAAACACACAAGGCTGTTACATATGTATTAGTCACTAGTAAATCACAAGTCATAACAACGCAAATGACATATAATTATTTCTTGATTGATGTATGCACTAAAGATTATTCGATTAATTAGGAGATATTTGTTAATTGGATCACCACTAGGTACCATCATATAATCCTGAAAAGTAGAATTCAACATACAAGAAGTATGGGATTAATAATTCTAAACTTATTGACAAAGGGAAAAAGAAGTGGATGATACATTAAAAGCAAATAAAGCTAGAAATTAAAAGCAAGTAAAGTTGGAAATTAAAGCAGAAATAAGAATCTTAAGAAAAGGATGAGACACAATGATTTTGCGGTGAGAAGAAAGTGAAATTTCTCAGAATAATTCATTCAATTGAAGAAAATACTTTTGGTTTTATGTTTTTAATAAAAGAACCACGTGGACTCTACAATACATATATGCCAGCCATTAACGGGTACTTCAAAGCGAACTATTAACTGTTCTTGAAACTGTAAATAACATGATCGATTTTGGAATAAAATGACCTATTATATTTGTTAACAAAATTTAGTAGCAAATAAGCTTTAACGCAAAAGGAAAATAAAAATAAACTTGTGATGAATAAAATTATGCATTATTTGTAACTAATGGAGATATTTTAAAATAATTATGATTATATTAATTAATGAAATATACTAATATAGAATTAATGAGTTTTGAAAACGTTGTTTTCATGTCTTTTATTTATTAATTCATGACTATTTAAATTCTAAGTTTTTTGAAAAACGAGAAAAAGAAATGGAGGGTTAGATAAAAAAAGTGATGGACAATGGATTGATAGTAAATAAAGCAAGAAATTAAAGCTATGTTGAGAGGTCGAAAATCCTTTACATTTGGAATAGATCTATGAGTTAGATAAAGAAGATGAGTAGTTACATAACCTTAATTAATAAATTAAAGTAATACAATATCAAGAATGTTTGTTACTTTAAGTATTTTAAGATATATGGTTTCTTTAGTCCACCAGTGGGGTGTCAATAGCTCCACTTATTTTATAATTATAGCATGGGCTAATTTTTTTGAATATCCATAAGTTTCTTTATACTATGTCAACAATAATAAATAAAGGATGACTGAGAACAATAATAAAACACTACATTATCTTCACTTAAAAATACAAAAATTACTTTGGATAAATAAAGACCTTGCTTGAGCAGACAATATTTACTTTTATTCTTCAGCATTTTGAGATAAAGAACGGACAATATTTCAAGATCATCAATTTTTAGTTGTAGGATTGTGAAGTCTAAAGTACTGGTTAATCATTAATATGTAGTTTTATTTTTTCTCTTTTTCCTTACCCATTTTGCTTTCTTCATCCTTATGACTCCTTTGCTATTAAAATTTAGTATTTCCTAGATGATAGAAACAGCTTTGAGACTTAGTAAGTTTACTTTATTTCTTCAACTTAGTAATAGAGTGTAGATGAATACTTATCTCAAAGATTGAAGGCAAAGAACCCAACTTTACTTTATTTTATTGGGTGCTTGAATCATATTCTTTTTCGGGAATGCTTTGATTTTCTTTATTCTTTAAGAGCTATTTACATCTCATTCCTTTAAAAAAAGATAAAGATTATTGTCCTTGACTGGTATATTAATTGCTTATGAGGTTTTCACATTTCTATGATCAATTATTTATTGAACTGGATAGCACAGTTGATGGACCAAATTGTAAGATTTCTGTTCCAAAAGGTGGAGGGATTATTCTACAACTTTGAAACCAGGCATAATAAGATCTTCATTACAAATTAACTGCTCACGATTACTGTTCCTGTTTAGTGAATCCTGATCAACTTTACTTCCCTATAAATTTAGCTTTACAATGTGTGTAAACCATTACCTTGTTTTAAACACTCCAGAATTAACCATGGCAGATACCAAAGTAAAGTTGAAGCTTCTTGTTGACAAAGAAGCTAAAATAGTCCTATTTGCTGAAGCAGGCAAAGAGTTTGCAGATTTTCTCTTCTACCTACTTTCTTTGCCTGCTGGAACTATTGTCAGGCTCTTAGAAAAGAAAAACATGGTGGGTTGTTTAGGTAATCTTTATGAGAGTATTGAACATCTCAACGAAACATATATTCAGCCAAACCAAAACAAGAGCTCTCTTCTCAATCCCAAATCTCCAGTCTATTCTACTGATATGCCCCTTTTGTTGTCTGATCATGAATTGAAAGCTCGAAATGTTTACAGGTGTCCATACCACGATTCGTATGTGGCTGAAACTCCAAACGTGGTTTGTCCGCAGTGCGAGAGGAAAATGGCCACTGAGGTTCCTTATGTAAACACTAGTAGTAATCCAGCGGGCAAAAGCACCACCGTCGCGGCTGAAAGAGGGTTCGTTAAAGCGGTGGTGACATATATGGTAATGGACAACTTGGAATTGAAGCCAATGTCTACTATTTCTAGCATCACCATGCTAAACAGGTTTCATGTTAAGGATGTGCGTTCACTTGAAGAGAAGGTTGTTGATTTTGGCGTTGAAGAGGTATGTCAAACACAACTAATTTTTCTGCAATTGATTATTGAATGTATATATGGTATTTATAAATAATATTACTCTTGAGCAAAGTTGAGCTGAGATGGGATTTATTCTATATTTTTGTTAGGGTCTGAAGCTGCTGAAGGCATCTTTGGAATGCAAGAATGTATTAACAAGTATTTTCCTTGGAAATAATGGGCCACAAAAAGGAAGCTGTACCTGAATTTCTGTATCAGCTGCTGGGACTTGAAACTTATCTTCTGGACATGTTAAATCGCTTTGTGTTTTCAAGCGTTTCAGATATTAATTAAGCAATAAGATTGGTGTGTTTAATTTAATTAGCATGAAATTTTTTCCATAATAATTAAATTTGGATATTAATTTATATCACAATATGGCAAATGGCAGGATAATTTGAAATGGAATGAATCCTGGTCAATAAAATACCAAGATGAATGTTCAACGTAGCTCGGAACATTGAAATTGCATAAAATTGTTATGAAATTCTGGATCTAGTCTAACTACGGATGCTAATTTTTATACATTTGATAATTCTCGTTTAAACTTTTGTAAGGCCTCAAATTCATCATTTTTTTATGAAATTGATCAGAAATATAAGAAAAATAACAAGTCCTTTCAAAATATTTTGGTAGTTTGGTATTTGCTCCCTCCAATCTAAAACTGATTTCTCCGAAAATTGATTGAGCTAGATCATGGACGAGTTCATACAGTATATATATATTTAAAGTTATTATTCCTTGAATGTTTAAATAGTGACCTTGAATATAAATCATGAAAGTGCTAACCTGCAACTTCCAGTTGCTCAATTGATTGTTGAATAATACCGTCTGCCATCCACAAACGGCCAAGTTCCTTCTCATTGAATATATAAGCAAAATTGCACAATAGGCCACCTTTTTAGATCTCTATCTCCAAATGCAATGCTCTTAAACAATTCCAAACAATTGACATGAGGTAATTGCTTTAATTCATAAATTTCGTGTAGTCACAATTATTTTACTTCCCATTGCATGATCACGGAATGGAGATTTCAAGGTTTCCCACAAGTTACAGTTCTCGTTCCAAACATCATCTAACACCACTAATACCCTTTTCCTTTGATTGCATTTTTTAATCGAACCAGCACGTTATCACCTTCAACCTTTTTTTTTTTTTTTTTTTTTGTTTTGGTTGACCCGGCATTTCAGATGATTCATTAATTAACTGAGAATTGTATTTGATATTCTCAGAACATCAAAATCGTCAGAGACACAAACCCAAATCTTTGTCATGAATTTGCTGTTCAACGCTTTGTCATTATACACCTCACGAGCAGTTATTTGCTTCATCACTTAACACCATTTCAAATATTCTCCTTTTGTCTTCATCTCTCCCACAAACAGTTCTGTGGGGACGCTTGAACTAGCTATTCTTTGCTGCGAAGAAGCGCTTGATGTCCCTCCAGAAGTCTCATGCATTAATCAAAAGAAGAAAACAATAGATGAGTATGAAAGCAAAGCAAAGCAAAAGCAAACAAGAAAGCTGTTTAGTTTTTGTGGAAGAATTAATGCTGAAGTTTGGAGTCGAGATACAATATTTTACTATTTTTGATTAAATAAAGGAACACGAAAGGAGTTCATCAAAATTTCTTTCTCACTAATAAATTGCGATTTATTAATAATATAGTGCGAGCAAAAATCTTGATTTTATATTAATAAAAAAAATCAATAATGATAATAAAATAATAACATTTATGGATCACCTTAATTTATGTGAAGAGGTTTTATTTCTAATATGGATCACATTATGATGATTAATAACATAAGAAAATACATTTTTTATCAAATAAGAGTTTGGAGGGTAAGTAGAAACATTTTTATCTGAGAATAATACGTTTTGATGCTCTGATAATTTCAAATAAGAGTTTCATTAATTTCTTACTAAGAGGATAGATGGTGTGGCCGGGACCCCACCAGCCTACAGATAATGCTCCAAAGGACACACTGTCGGCCAGAAGACTGAGATTTTTATATATTGTCTTGATTTTTCTGAAATCCTGACCTGGATTCCTCATGTAAATATGCAGTGATGTTTGAGTTGCAGTCTGAAATTAACCACATGATCCTGCAATAATGGACTCTTTTTTTCCACCTTGTGGACTCCACCTTGATGTTACAATACATCTGACTAAATTTTTACCTTTACGGATCACTTGCCCCATATATATATGAAATTTTTTCGACTAAACAACATATTCCCACCCAAGGTTGAGCGAAATCCCAAGCTAATACGCTTGGTTTAATTTATTCCTAACACCCACCCTTAAATTAACACCATTTCCTTTATTTTAACAGTAAAGGGGCAGATTGGTCTTTCTCTTTTTTTTTTTTTTTTTTTTTTTCCTCATCCCTTCCCATTTCTTTCCCCAGTACGCCTCCTCCTCCCATCTTCTTCTTTTTCCCTCTACACCTCCTCCTCCCTGGCGCCTCACCATCCCAACCCACTACCCCCCCGACCACCTTGACTCCCCTTTTCGCCGTCACCCTTCACCTCAACTGTCGCACTCCGCCAACCACTTTCCGGCAGCCTCATCACCAAAAATCTTAATCGAGCCCACCATTTAACTCATCAAAGAGCCCTCTCCAATAACCCCATGTTTTCCGTCCCCGATTTCTCACCTTTCAACACCGATTTAAGCCCCCTCTCCCTAGGGTTTCTATTTTCTTTTTTTTGTTTTTTTTTTTTTTTTTTTTTTTTTTGCTTTTGCTTTTGTTTTTTGTTTTATGCTTTTTTGTTTTTCTTATTGAAATGGTGATTTTTGGTGGTTGCTATTGGGTTTGGAATGGGGTGATTTGGCTGACTGTGGTGGTGGTTTGGACGCTATGGTGGTTTTGGGATGGGGTGGTTTGGAATGGGATGTGGTGGTGGTGGTTTGGCCGGCTGTGGGATTTGGAATGGGTATAGTTTGGATGGCTATGGTAGTGGTTTGGGATGGGTTGGTTTGGAATGGGTTGTGGTGGTGGTTTGGCTAGCTCGGGTGGTGCTGTGGTGGTTTGAAATGGGGTAAAGGGCAGTTTGGTAATAGCATCCATCCAAACCCAACCGTTACTAACTGTGTTAATTTAAGGGTAGATATTTGGAATAAATGAAACCAGTAGTATTAACTTACGATTTAGCTAAACCTTGGGTGGGAATATGTCGTTTACTCAATTTTTTCATTTGTCTGACCCCTTTATTCATTGAACAATATTTTGGCCCCCAGAAAACATTTTCTGGCTCCTCCGTGACTGGCGCCACCACATGCAATTTACTTTGTTTGCTATGACCTATCCTTTATTGTTATCTCCGTGATTCAACCACCACTAACTATAGCTATAGCACCCTCATTCTCTCTCTCTCTCTTGGATTTATAAAAATAAAGTAAAAAATATTTTTAATTTAAAATTTTTAAAGACGAAAAATAATATGTCACATCTTACATCATTAGCGAATAGAGCTGGGCATTTGGGACCGGGCCCAAAAGCTCAGCTCTAAAACCCGGTCCTAGGATCGGTCCTTGAGAGGACCGGACCTAGGAGGCCTGGTCCCAAAACGGGACCAGGCCTAAGGAGGAGGGCCCGGGCCCTCCTCCGGTCCCAGGCCCGGGCCCAAAAAAATTTGTATTTTTTCAATGTAGTCCCCTGCCAAATTACATAAAACCCCTTGTTAATTTTGAATAGATATAAATTACGAGGGCTAAAATAAAATTTTACAAAATTTATTAAAAAAAAAATCTTACAGGTCTAAAAAATTTATAAATTTTACCCCTAAAAAATACTAAAAACCCCCTATAAAATTTCGTTTTGCCCCCAAAATATAAAAAAATTGAGGGGGGAAAATGAAATTGTCTAAGGCCCATGGGACCGGTCCTAGGACCGGTCCTGGGCCCATGGGACCAGTCCTGACCAGGCCTAAGGCCTGGTCCGGGTCCTGGTTTTTCTCATGGGCCTGGGACCGGTCCTAGGCCCATGAGTGACTGGTCCCATTTGGGACCAGTCCCAAACGGGCCCAGGCTTGGGCCCGCAAGGGACCGGTCCCTTGCCCAGCTCTATTAGTGAACGAGATTAAGATTAATTTATAAGTTTAGTTTCATATTGTCGCATATCCCCTTTAACTGCCACGTAAACATCTTTGGCCTTTGATTTTTTCAAAACATGAACCCGCTTTTTTGCAAGGATTGCTTGATGGTGGAGCTTCTGTCCCAAAAGAAAGACGCAAGTGTAGTTGTTAGACCGATCGTCACAGTCTAAAAATTAAACCTAAATACCGTTGTTAGCGGTAAGCAGGATCGAATCCACAGGGAGCAAGACTAACAACCTAATGTATTTTAAGTAGCGGAAATGAAATTGGCAATGGATTAATGAAACTAAATAGACTAAATGCAAATAATGAAATAGTGCAATTAAAACTAATAAAAACTTTATAATAAAAAATGTTGCCGTTACGNTACCATGGGCCTCAACAAAAATATTGACTTCACCAGGCTACTGAATTTGCGAAGGAAACAACCAATTGCTGATGAATGTTAACATCTGTATGATCCTTTCAAGTCCCAATTCAAGAGTTCGACGAGTATTGTGGGTGTTTATTATTAATTTGCCTTCATTTATAGCAGACAAGCCTTATTTCCTTGCCATAAGGTCTTTAATCAACTGTAGAATCTCTTTTCGAGTCTCAGCAACAGCAGATGGAGTGATCCGCTCCTTCACAGAAGAAAACCACATATCATCTTTATCTTTGTGTTCGCTACTGTCATACCAGCAACATAAAACTCTTGCAATGGCAGTAACATATACACCACAGTCAAAACCATTTGTTTGCTGCGGCGAATCACTGCATTCCAGATACTTGGCAGTAGATACTGAAGTGGAATCGCCAATGAATCCAACAACAGCCTTAAAAAGTTGCTTCCCTCGCATTTTATTCATCCCATGATTGCTATCATGATGCACAAACACATTAGCATTTCTCTCGTATGCTAGTAAGCTCCAGTGACTTCCACCTTCAGCAATGCTCACATCATCATTGTCGTTAACCGGAAAAATCACAAGTTTCTTCTCATGCAATTTAAGGGGCTCTATGAAATCCTTGAGACTTGTAGCATCTGGACAGTTCATCAACCAAAAAGCAATTGAAGGTGGAACCAGTAGAATGTCCTGTGAATGGCAAGAAGAAAGATAACTGAAATAAAACTCGATGATTCGATCATTCAGAAAGTGAGGACCACTTAGAATGCCCAGGTCTGATTGCCTAAGTACAACATCATTGTAGCTTAAAATCTTCTCATCATCTGACTTCCGCATGCTGCCAATCAATGTGTATTCCTAATCAAATGAACCTGAGAATAGAGAATCACTATTCCTTTTCAAAAGAAGCAGAAGAGAAAACACAAAATTGGATTTACAAAGATCATCAGTATCAAACACTTCCATTTACTAAGCATGAAAAAGAGGTTGTACATCAAACAAGGGGACTCTTTAACATTCAACTATATTTTCTTTTCACATTTAATTAACCTCTTAAACAAAATGCAATATAGAAGAAAAAGTGAACGGGCAATCACAGGGATTAGGCCAATGCAAAGTTCTAACCAGTCAAGCACAATCTAACAGAGGTTTTACACTAATTTTTGTAGCATGATAATAAATCATCAATGTATTCTATCAATACTATCTCTGCAGATTCTTGCTCTTTAACTTAAACTCCTAATCAACTCATTAAATTTCAGAATGATATAACCTACCAACTAATTAAAAAAAAAATCCAATTCTTTGTTTTATTTTGGAAACATAATCTACTTATTGAAAATTACAAGAAAAAATAGTATTTGCCAAGGCTCTGAAACAACCAAGAAATCTAACCAAGCACAAAAGCACGTTAAAAAAAAAAAAATTAATAATAATAAGTATAAACACAAATACGCAATTACTGTGAGGAAAACGAAAACCTAACTTGTTCTCCGTGGTTTTCTGTTTCGTTTACGAGTATATAAAATATCAAATGAACAGCTAAATCAGACGGAATTATCAAACACAAAAAAAGATAGATTTACGTGAGGAACAAAGACTTACCGAATGAGAAAGACTGCAAGAAATCAACTGATCTGAATCTTGCTTCTTTGATGTTGTACGGATACTGGTAGTTATTAGGGATGCAAGGTGATGGGCTTTTCTTTAATTCCTTTCAAGTTTCGACTGGAAACTTTAAAGTTATCACTGCGTTCAATTAGGGGTGATTTGGTAAACCTACAGACGTCTGTTCTGTTTGTTGTCATCTCAAGAAGTGATGTTGTACGGATACAGGGTGAATTTGGTTTCCAACTTTCCGTGGCTATACTTACTTATATTATAATATATAATGAATTTTATGCTGTAACTATAATCATTTATTTCATAGTATATAATTTAAAAATACATTGATAAAATAATTTAGAGTTAGTTTGATGGACTATTTGAAAAATGTTATTATGAAAAAGTGATTTAACTTAAATTAGATTAAATTTAGTAGGATAAGACTTTGAAAATGTGTTTGATATAATATGTGAAAATCATATCATAGTTAAATAAAATGTTGAATAGTTGTTTTGTATATTTTTTAAAATATTTTATCAAAATATTTAGATTTTTTTTAACCTCCTATATTTATTAATTTAGCTAAACATCCCCTCAATAAAAGTTTAAAAATTAACCAAAGCACCACAACCATCCAAGAGGACAGCTGACCATCAGCCACTACCACCGAACGACAGTCAACAGTAGCTAAAACGACGCACAATCAGCTAGATTTGGCTGGTTGTGCACCGTTATGGCCGTTTGCGGCTAGATCTACCACGGATCTAGATCTACGGCTAGAATTTGGTCATCATCAACAACTAGATCTATCTAGTTGTTAACAGCTGAATCTAGCCAAAATATGGTCGTCAACGGCTATAGTTTTGGCTGTTTTCATCCATATCTAGTAAAAAATAGTCAGATCAGTGCACAACCAGTTAGTTTCGGTCGGTTGTGCGTTATTTTGACCACGGCTGTCGATAAGGATCATGGCCAACAACCGACAGTGGTGGCCTTGGGTGGATTAATTTTCAGATTGAAAATAGTGAAAGGTAATTGTTTTTAGTTGAATAGAGTTGGAAAAATGTTTTGAGTGGAATAGAATAGGATAATACAAAACAAGTACCCCTCTTTTCAATTTCAAACAAAAAATTCTTATTTGATTCAGATTAATTTTCATAACAATGATCCCAATAAATAAACAAATACATATTTTATTTTTTTAATCTAAATCAATTATGAAATAATTGATTACTTTTCAAACATTTTTGCTCGTGCTAGTGCCCCTAGAAATTCTTGGATTTCTTGCAATATGAGATTGAATGCCATAACTCTTATTTGTATTTTACTTCTTATTGGTGCTGTTGGGAAATCTGCACAGATAGGATCGCATACTTGGTCACCCGATGCTATGGAGGGTCCCACTCCAGTATCCGCTTCGATTCATGCAGCTACTATGGTAACAGCTGGCGTTTTCATGATAGCAAGTTGCTCCCCTTTATTTGAATACCCACCTACGACTTTGATTGTTATTACTTCTGCAGGAGCTACGACGTCATTCCTTGCGGCAACCACTGGAATATTACAGAACGATCTAAAGAGGGTCATAGCTTATTCAACTTGCAGTCAATTAGGCTATATGATCTTTGCTTGCGGCATCTCTAACTATTCGGTTAGCGTCTTTCACTTAATGAATCACGCGTTTTTCAAAGCATTACTATTCCTGAGTGCAGGTTCGGTGATTCATGCCATGTCGGATGAGCAAGATATGCGGAAGATGGGGGGGCTTGCCTCCCCCTTCCCTTTTACCTATGCCATGATGCTCATGGGCAGCTTATCTCTAATTGGATTTCCTTTTCTAACTGGATTTTATTCCAAAGATGTGATCTTAGAGCTCGCTTACACTAAGTATACCATCAGTGGGAACTTTGCTTTCTGGTTGGGAAGTGTTTCTGTCCTTTTCACTTCTTATTACTCTTCAATTTAAGGGAATATGAAGAAAGGTATTGTGAACCACTTAAGTCATAAAGTCGGACCCAATCGTAGAGGAATGAGTCATCAATCAAATGCTCGAAGTCATACCGGTGAAAATAGAACAAAATGATCGTGGTTTCCTTTTCACATGGGTAGTATGGTAATCGAAGAGACCTCTGTATCATTTGATAAGCACCCTACCGCAACTGTCCCAACTGCAACGCCTGAATGCTCGGCTATAGGATTTAACACCCAGAATCTACGCCTTCATTTTTGGTGTTAAGCTCTACGAGATGCAGCTCTGTAAGCGTAGCTAGGAAAGCGTAGTGCCAGTGTCAGCTCTACGACTTCTTTCTTTTTATTGAGAACAAGTATATCGAACCTAGCTTCTATCAGACTTTATCAGAACGTGTTCTTTCTGTCTATTTGCAGCTAGGAAGTTAAGTCAGTGGTGTGGGGTCTAGACTAGATGGGAGCTCCCCTCTCTGACCTGTTTGCCCGCTTGGATAACCTATCGCCTATCGGAAAACAATTCGTTTAAAAGGCCCTTTCTGCTTGAGTAGATAAGCGGGAGAAGATGAACTCAGTCTTGGTGAGCCGATAGGCGAAGACGAACTTGGCCACCCTAAGGTCTCGATCTTCCCACCTTTGGCCAAAACTATCTTTGTGCAAGAGATTCTACGAACCCACTAGTAGATGGGATTGAACCCTTCGATGAGAAGAGATTGTCGCATTTGCATTTTCGGTACGCTGCTGTCATATTTTTGGTACATTCGAATTCACCCTCCCCGACGTAGGCTAGGCCTATAGTTGGTAGACCGATCCCCTGGCTTCACTTCAGGGACATTGGTTAGCGTAACGAGTGAATCAGGTGCTTTACTGTCAGCCAGTCGGTCAAGCCAGTCAAGTTTCCACACCATCAAACTAACCCGAGTAACCCTGACAACCAGTAAGCTAGCAGGTCAAAGATAAAAGGCAAATCCAGTCTGCTACAGCCGGTCTAATGAAAGTGGTAAGCCTCTCAAGTTCCATCAACAGCAAAGAGGTTTGAAGACAAGTTAGCTTAAAGCCTTTTCAAAACGTTTAAAAGAAGGTTATCGGTAAAGCTAGCGAGACAGCCAGTGTGGGTGCCTTATCCCCCATAGAGAGTTTATCTTGGGAGTTCCCTGCCAGCAATTGATCCAGCCGAGTCAGTTGCAGCTTTTCTGCCTTGGATCGAGTTTCTCTCTGTGTTCAATTAAGTATGCCTTATGCCCTTGATTCTTCCTTTCTGGAAGTGAAGTATGAGAGGTGATAAAAGACAGAGGTTAAGCTTGACCTACGGATAGGGTTAACCCTTGCAGTCTGTAGTTTCTAGGGCCACTCCTTATCCTTCTGTCACAGCGCCCGTAGCATGGTGTCTAGTAGTAGTCGTGGTAGGCGCTTTAGCGGTTAGCTAGCGAGGAGCAAATGAAAGGAGCTGTCGCAGTAGGTATCTGCGCGAGGATTGTTGAAAGACTTTGGTCCAGTCAAACTGCGCTGGTTCCTCAAGCCGCTAGTGCACTTGAAGCGATATGTTATTTCAAATAGTGCCTTACAAAATTATTATACAACAAATCAATTATGAAATAATCTGTTATATAAAATAATTTAAAAAATAGATGTTTGTAGCTTTTAGAATTCAAAAGCCGTTTCTGAAAGGCTTAGTTATCAAAAACACCCTGAAGTTAACTTAAGTTTAATTTCCAATTAACAATTTTTTAAATAAATAATAAAAAAAAAAAACTTTGAAAGTGGCAGCAAGGTGTTTGTTGAGCATTAGCTACCGATGATGTTCAGACCACCATAGCTTTCAGCCGCTCTAACCGCTCCATTACGTTAATCGGCTGGTAATCTGTCCAATGGAGTGGGTAGTGTTGATGGACGCGCCTCTGGCGTGAACGCTTTGCCGGCTAAATTTTAATTTTTTATATTCATATTTCAAAAAATTATTTATAATATATCTTAATAATAAAAAAAACTTATTAAGAAAAAGGAATTCTTAACATTTTAAATATATCACAAATCGTTTTCTAAAAGTAAAAATAATTTAAATTTAAAAAAAAAAAAAAAAAAAACTTAAAAACTTATAACAAAAAAGTTTATTATTCATTAAGTTGGATTAAAAGTAATTAAGGGAGAAGTTAAAGCAATCTTAAGCTAAGCGGAGGTTCTAATTACCTTTTTTACAAAATATAACAATTTTTTTTTTCATAATTTTAATTTACATGTAAAAGTAATATTCAGATTTGTATTTATTAGAATTTAAAGACTCTATAACAAATGATCATCAAAAGAGTAACCTAAGCAACATGAATATGCTACTTTAATTGGCTAAGTAGTGGTGTTTATGAGAGAAGTAAGAAGTTGGTCTTACAATTCTTTGATTTAACGGCATTTGGAGATTTGACGAAATGTAGAGAGTATATATGTTTCCTTTCCTTCCATTCTTTTTTTTTTTTTTGGGGTAATCGAGATGTCTGGACCAGTTTATACGCACCTCAACTAATCTCCGAAATCTATTAAACACCTTACAAGAATCAGGTAAATCACAATATGATAGGTGACCCCAAAGTTTGAACCTATAAACTCAATGAATGAAGCAAATCTTTTTTACTGTCGAACCAACCTCTTGAGATTAAACTTATCGTTGTAATACCAGTTCTACATTCAAGGCCAAATTATAAATATTCAACATTAGATTTATTTTATTTTTTTTATATGTAAGATTATGGTTTAATGCAGCTTGAAGAAATGGCACCATCACATGAAAACTTAGTTATTTTGACCAAATATGTTTAGGTTTGTGACAAAGGGAGTTGTGAAATATACACTATGTTGCTTATGAAAATAATTAGAATTTTGAGAATAGCAATATGAATTTAGGATATGTTTGCACTATCTTTATACTAGTTGTAACGTGCAAGATTCTCTTTATCACATCTCTTTTGATAAATGAGAAAAATAAATATCTTTCCACAAAGCTGAGAAGACTTTGGTGGTATAAATAAAATATCCCACATTCATGTTTTTTTTTATTTTTTATACGGACGTGCAATAATATTCTTTAGTTAATCATACTTAAAATTAATTATCATGCTTCAAAAATTAGCTTAAGTTTTCATTAATTGCTTTAATGACAATTAGCTCTAGTAGACCACGATTGGGTGGTCCAATGGTAAAAGAGTAAAGGGGTCCGATATGAGTTTCTAAGTCCAAGTCCCCACAAACCTTAATAGGGGTGGTACTGAGAGGATTTACTCGATCATCAATTTTAAGGCCTCAAAAGATTAGTTGAGTGCGCGTAATCTAACCCAGAAAAAAAAAAATTAGCTTTAGTTTTATTCTTTTATTTATTCATCTTTAGATGATTTGATTAATTATTAAACCACATTCCCATTATCTTAGAGGGGGTGTTTGGATTATATAATATTTTATTATAGAAGTATATTATATTAACGGAAAGAAAGATCACCTTGAAGATTATTGAGAATGTTTAGAAAATATGTTTGGTTGATTCGAATAAATTAGTGAATAATATGTTTAGTTGGGAGGATAAATTGGTGGGTATGTTATATAAATTACTAAATTGCCATCTTTTTTAAATATTAATATAATATTATTTTTTGAATGATTTCTTTTAACCCCCCATATTTGAAATTTTGCTAAAACACCCCAACTATACAAAACTTTAGTTTATAGCAAAATTACCTTCACCCACCCCAAGACATTACCCATAGCCAACTACCACCGTCGACCGCCACCGACAGTCGACGGAATGACACACGATTGGCTGTATATGGCTAACTGTGCGCCGGTAAAGTCGAAAACAACCAAATCTATGGCCATTTCACGGCCAATGATGTGGCCGTGAAACTGCCACAGATCATTTGACGACCAAAGCCGTTTCCAGAGATCCATGGTCTGAGAAGGCCTTATCGGCGCATAACCAGTCAGATCCCGCTGGTTGTGAACCATTACGGCGACTGAAGCGGTGGCTGGTGGTGGTGAGTCATGGCCGGTGGTGGTCTTGGGTGGCTGGGGGTATTTTGTTAACTTTTAAATTTTTTTTGTGGCTGGGCTGTTTTAGCTAATTTCTCAAATATAGAGGGGTTGAGTAACTGTTATTTGGTAGACATTTGAGGGCAATTGTGTCTGAAATGATTTTTAATTAAGGGCAAACTGGGTAGAAAAATCAGATTACCTCGATAATGTTTTAATAACACCCCCAAATAAGGTAATAAGATTACCTCTTACATTACCAACAGTAAACAATATTTGCAATAAAAGATTACTGTAATATTTTATTACTTGCAAGCCAAACACAGGAATTTTGCAAAATAAACTAAGATTACCCCTGTTATTTTATTTACCCCCTATCCAAACGGCCCCAATCATATAATATTTTATTATAGGGGTATATTATATTAACAGAAATAAAGATTATCTTAAAGATTACTAAGAATGTTAGAAAATGTGTTTGGTTGGTTCGAATAAATTTGTGAATAATATATTTGGTTGGGAGGATAAATGGATGGATATATTATATAGATTATTAAATTGCCCTTCTTTTTAAATATTAATATAATAGTATTTTTTATTATTATTTGTTAAATAATTTCTTTTAACCTTCTACATTTGAAATTTTACTAAAACACCCCAGCCATATAAAATTTTAATTTATAGCAAAATCACCCCCACCCACCCCAAGCCACTGACGGCAGCCAGCCACCATCGCTAGCCGCTGCCGGCAGTCGACAGAATGGTGCACAATTGGCTGTATATGGCCGACCGTGCGCTGGCAAAGCCGAAAATGGGCATGGATCACAAATCCATGGCCTTTTCATGGCCAGATCTATGGCCATTTCACAGCCAAAGATGTGGTTGTGAAACAGCCACAGATTTCGCAGTGAAAAAGCTAGATCTTTGGCCATGAAATGTCACAGCCAAAGATCTAGCCTTTTCATGGCCAAACCTATGGTTGTTTCACAGCCAAAGGTTTGGCCTTTTCATGGCCAGATTTGTGGTTGTGAACTTGGCCGTGAAGCGACCATAGAAACGCGAGATCTGGCCATTTTCGGCCATGATCCACGGTCGGAAAAGGCCTTATCGATGCATGACCGGCCAGATCCCGTCGGTCATGCACTATTATACTGACGGTCGACGGTGGTGAGTCACGACCAGCGGTGGTTTTGGGTGGCTGGGGGTATTTTGTTAACTTTTAAACTTTTTTATGGTTGGAATGTTTTAGCTAATTTCTCAAATGTAGAGGGGCTGGGTAATTGTTATTTAGTAGACATTTGAGGACAATTATATCCAAAATGGTTTTTAATTAAGGATAAAATGGAAAGAAAAATCATATTACCTAGTAATGTTTTAATAACAGCCTCTAGCAAGATAATAAAATTATCCTCTATATTATCAACAGTAACAACTTTTTATTACTTACAAATAAAATATAAAAATATTATAAAATAAACGAATATTACCCGCTACCTTATTTACCCTTTATCCAAACCGCCCTAAAAGGTTAAAAAAAGGTACACCACACGTAACGTAAACCAATTCCCTGTTTCAATAAAATTGTAGTACCAATGGCATTTGTCCAAATGTTGACTGAAGACACGGCAAACAAAATTGTACTTCAAACAATGTACTAATTTATTTTACTGAGTTGACTTGTACTAATAATATATTATATTTAAACCATGGATTTCATTCATCAAAATAAACAAATTTAGGAAGGAGAATGATAATGAATTGAACTAATAATTAAAAGGGTAAAATTCAAGAGAAGGCAAAATTAAAACTAGCCCAATGATAACAACTAATAGTTTCTATTATACAATTTGCAAAAGAAAAAAAATATTCAATTTTGTATTAACTTCAACTAATTATCCGAAATTAGAAAGAATTGATTAATTAATGAGTAATTAAGAAAAGTCATTTATTTCTGATCTATTTTGTAAGACCAAACAGCTAATGCTGGGTCTCTTTATACCATCTAAAGGACTTTGACCATTATTTACCCTCCAGAAGAATTAATAATCCCTCATTAATTTTAACGTGGAGTGGACTATGACCCTAGTTTACCGTTGGAATGGATCCTTAGATAAAAAATGAAAAGACAACAATGTCCTCCAGGTAACTCCACTTTTCTAACTCCCATTAAAAATGATGCCGAAATTGCCGATTCAAGTGACGGTTGCGAATGGCAAAACCAAAACCAAAAAAATACTAACACACCAAACGCACTCAGTCTCAAAGACCAATTGGTTTCTGATTCAGATCTGAAACTCCCTCACTTAGATCCATACAATAACAACTGTTTTATACTTTTACCGGTCAACCATTTCATTTCCTATTTTGGTCTTCGGAAATTGGAGCAATGGAGCGGTTCATAGAAAACTTGCCGCCAATGGATCTGATGCGGTCGGAGAAGATGACCTTTGTACAGCTCATCATTCCCGTCGAGTCCGCTCATCGAGCCGTCTCGTATCTCGGCGAACTCGGTCTCGTGCAGTTTCGTGACGTAAGTGTGTCGTCTCAGATCCGATTTACTCTTTTTTCTTTATTTAATTCTCCTTTTTTTTTTTTTTTTTTTCCGTGTTTGGTTGCTGAGAAATTAGAAAACAAAAGGAAAATTAGGATTTAAAGGTTTGTACAGTGATGGTTGGCTATATGAATTGTTATGCCAAACTTAGTGGAGCTCTTATTTTTTTGGTTGTTTATTGTTTAATTGTCTTTATCATGTTGTTCTTATCAGTTTTAGCTCAGATCGCACTAGTTTGTATTGAATTACTTGGAGGTAAAATTGTATTTTTTTACCCCTGTTTGTTTGCTGAGAAAATGGAGGTAAAGAAAGGATATGGATTTGAGGTTTGTTTTGGTTCATGATGACAGTTATGTTAAACTCAACTATGTACGTATTAAATACTTAATTTATGGAATTTTAAGTTAAAATGTTAAACTGAATACGTGCTTACTGTCGTAGTTAACAGCCATAATATCTAAAGGTGATTTTGTTTCCCTTGACAGTTAAATGCTGATAAAAGCCCTTTCCAGCGAACATTTGTTAATCAGGTATATAGCTTACATATATCAGAGCTATTACTGTGATATGAACACTTTAGATTTTCATTTTTTTTCTCCAGAGTAATGCTGTACATATGTTGTAATCTAAACAAACTAATGCAGCATAAATGCATGATTGCCTCATCATCTATCTTCATTGTTGAGGTGACTTTGGAAACTCTTTCATTAATTTTGTGCTACATGAGCTTGGATAACAAAGTTTGTGTTTGTAGCATCATTCTTTTCTCATTTTGCGATATAAAGTTTGACTTTAAATTTTATTTTAGTTATGCTACTCTGTCTTGTATTCTAGAAACTTAGATGCTACTTGCTATTTGTTTATGCATATCCATCTATCATTGCATTTGCAGCTTTTTATATTTCCAGTATTTTAATCTTATCATGTCTTCCTGTTTTTTTTTTTTTTTTTTTTTTTTCCTTTTATTGATGCTAAATTAATGATATATGGACTTTTAAAGCAGCATATAAAATTTTGATCTTTTATGCTCTCCTTTGTCAGTAATTACCAAAAGATATAGGATAGAATATGAAGTATAAAATTTTCATTTCTAATTTTATATTTTTAAGTTTACAACATGGGTAAATGCAATTTTGCATTACCATGTATTATTGTTATTTGAATGTTTTGGAGTCTTTTTACAGGTAAAGCGATGCGGAGAGATGTCAAGAAAACTGCGATTTGTCAAGGAACAAATCAATAAAGCTGGTCTTCTATCTTCTGTCCATCCTGTTTCAGGACCTGATGTTGAGTTGGAGGAATTAGAGGTCGATATTTAAATTACCCTTTTTGTTCAACTAATGAGTTTTTTTTTTATCCATTGGCTGGGTTTTTCTTGTCTTTATCCTAGATTTTCAATTTATTTAATGTTGGAACACAGTATATACTAAATGTAAAGACTACTTGCTTCTGAAATCTGACAATGTATTATTTGTTGTATTTTTCCTAATTTCAGCTGCAACTTGCTGAGCATGAACATGAGCTAATTGAAATGAACTCTAACAGTGAGAAACTTCGACAAACATATAATGAGCTCCTTGAGTTCAAAATGGTCTTGCAAAAGGTACTCATTTTGGCTTTCTTTTGGGGGTAACATTGGTGTAGTGTGAATAAATCTGTTGACTTTTACCTTGGTGGTTAAATTTGGTATTGTCTTTGTGTGTGTTTAGTTCCCTCTGAGCTTTGCTTGGCCCACGGTACTCCTAACCCCATGTTTATTGCTGCATATGCAATTAAGCATTTATAAGTGACACAATCTGTGATGGAGGATATTAGTTGCAGTACCAATAATCTACTTGCTGGTGGACTATCTGTTGCTTCTAGCATACTACTCTGCCAGAAAACAAAGTGATTAAGGGTTTCCTACCAAATATATATGTTCCCTTTCCCGTTCAAGTTTGACTGACAAGCAATTTTTGAATATTTTCTTTTATGTTGGATGGGTAAAGATGTTCCAGTGTTCCTTTAGCAAGTATTTTCAATGGTTAAGTCCAATTCATTCAATTATAAGAAATGTTCTTTGTTGGAGGGCATAATTTTTACTATTCTTGTCTTCACGAAACCAGTACGGCACAGGAAGGGTGGAAGTTTATAATTCGTTTTGTGTTCTAATGGATGCATATTGGACAATTGCTTAGTATCTATGGTTTTTGCATTTATTTGATATCGAGAAATTATTTACAAGTCATCAAATACCTAGGTGATCTAGAATTGGTGGTTTACTTGTTTGTGAGTGGGATTCATCTTCCTGGTCCTGATATATCCTTCTTTAAACCTGGAGTTGAAAATGCTTCTCACTGAATGGTAATTAATTGTGAAAGGAATTTAAATCTTGAAATTTCGCTCCAAACTACTAATAACTAATGCCTTTTTTCTATGCCCTTACCCTCCTATATTTTATTGGGCATTTCCAGGCTGGTGGCTTTCTTGTATCAAGTAATGGTCATGCAGTTACTGAGGAACTGGAGTTAAGTGAGAGTGTGTACTCAAACAATGGTTATGCTGACAAAGCTTCATTACTTGAACGGGTATATGTTTAGTGAACTTTGAATTGTTTTTCTTGAGAAAAAACATAACATCCCGTGGGTTTTTTATTTAGATTGTTCATTTTACAGGAGATAAATTCGGGGCCATCAAATCAGTCTGGTCTAAGATTTATCAGTGGGATTATTTGCAAGTCGAAAATTCTAAGATTTGAGAGAATGTTATTTCGTGCTACTAGGGGCAATATGCTTTTCAATCAGGCACCAGCTGATGAAGAGATTGTGGATCCTCTAACAGCTGAAATGGTTTTTTTCTTTCTCATTACTGTCTCTGTTAATGTTATCATCTAGAATATTCAATGTTTGCTTCTTTTAATTTGCTGGTATTGCCATTTTTGCTCAGAGGGTTTATTTGTTGCCTTTTTTAGAACTAGTATATGTTATCTGATATTGACTTCTATTGTTCACCTTGCAGGTTGAGAAGACCATATTCGTAGTATTTTTCTCTGGGGAGCAGGCAAGAACGAAGATTTTGAAAATTTGTGAAGCTTTTGGGGCAAATTGTTATCCTGTTCCTGAAGACATTACTAAACAGAGCCAAATAATTAGAGAAGTAAGTGTCTTGTTGTGGAGGTTTGTTATATTTCATCTTATGCATGGAAGAAAAATTCCATTCACATATTTATTTTGTGTCTTTGATGGTATTATGTATTCTTGTTTAATCTTCACAACTGTTATATGAGATGCTCTTAATGTCTCTGAATAACAAACAGAAAATTCTAAAATTCTTAAAAGTTCTATTTGGAAAGATATACAGACTATGATTTACCTTACTTTAGTGTTCCTCATTTGTCACCAAAAAATGTTTATATGCCTAATCATTGATTAGAGTTCCCAATACTCTGTAATTTTGTTGATTAGAAAATATAAAAAAGAGTCACAGTAAATGTTTATTCAAATTTTTGCTAAGTTAAGGCTTTTTTTGGGCAGGTTTTATCACGTCTTTCTGAGCTTGAAGCCACGCTGGAGGCAGGCATTCGCCACCGAAATAAAGCCCTTACTTCCATTGGATTCCATCTTACAAAATGGATGAATCTGGTAAGATTTAGCTGTTTCACTGTCTCCCCTTTTTTCTTTAGTGTCCTTGCTGTAGCTTTCAACATATCAGATTTAAACTATTTGAACTCCATGCCATGTTCACGATACTGTAACTTAATCTTCTTGCTTCTGTTGACCACCTTTTACTAGGTAAGAAGGGAGAAGGCTGTATATGATACATTGAATATGCTGAATTTTGATGTTACTAAAAAATGTCTTGTTGGAGAGGGCTGGTGTCCTATATTTGCGAAAGACCAGGTAAGTTTGTCAGGCCTCATCTACCGTTGTTGAATAGATTTAAACTTGTTAGTTACTATATTACTGTCTTGTACTTCTGCTGAAGAGCTATTGCCTATGGGGTTATTATGTTTTAACAGATTCAGGAGGTGCTCCAACGTGCAACGTTTGATAGCAGTTCTCAAGTGGGCATAATATTTCATGCTATGGATGCTTTTGAATCACCTCCGACATATTTTAGGACAAACCGTTTCACAAATGCATTTCAAGAAATTGTTGATGCCTATGGGTGAGCTCCCATGCTGCTATCATTGTGTGTCATCTTCTTTAAGCAAAATTGTCTCTTCCGTATTAAAGCAACATTCACCTTGTGAATCGTGATTTTGGTTATGAGATTTTTGAGGGATATTTTTCTATGACATCATCATTATCTTTGATACAATTTCATCTGATGCTTTCTTGTTAGATTAATTTCATGAGTATAAGAGGTTTACATCGTGAACAAGAGACTCAATAGAGGTTGATGCATTTTCTTTCTTTAGTACTGTCATCAATTTTCACCATATGGCGGCTATTTGTTCCAATCATGTATTTAATCTGTCGTACCTACTAGAATTGATTCAAGCTCTAGCATAGTTCAGTTTCTGTTTAAGATGAGGCCCAGCTGCTTGATGTTAAATTTGAATTATATACTTAATGTTCAATCTTGCATGTAATTTTGCATATTGGTTAATTGAATCATTGATAATAATTATACCAATTTTCAGAGTGAGCTAATTGGCAGGAGCTCTGTCATTTATTTTTATTAGTTTGTAAAATTTATAGAAATGATTACAGTACTAACGGAACAATCTGTTTGGCAGTGTTGCTAGATATCAAGAGGCAAATCCTGCAGTATACACTGTGGTTACATTTCCTTTTCTTTTTGCTGTTATGTTTGGGGATTGGGGTCATGGAATATGTTTATTGTTGGGAGCATTAGTCCTCTTAGCTCAGGAAAGGAGGCTCAAGTCTCAGGTATACTTGACGTCAAGCTCTTTTTTTTTTTTTTTTTAAACGATTTGTTGTATTAGAAGAAACTATACTTGTCTAGTATTATGAATTATAGTCCTCCTCGGTGAATATAAACTTATCAAAATGTTTGTGTTATTTTCCAGAATACAAGTCATTGAATGTATCAGTGGCTAAGTTTAATTATTCTCATCTGTTATTTCTTCACTGTTTTTATTTATATATTTTTTAATGCTTTGGAGTGTATCATTGTGCTTTTAGTTTTGATTATAGATGTTCCTTTTCTGTAACTATGTTGCAATGCTTATTTTGTTTCATTTTATATATCTCTGAGAGAGGATTATTTGAACGAACTGCAAGATGCTTGATTGGACCCTTAAGGACTTCAATCTGTCTTTGACTTAAGATTTTGCATTTTTAATATGGTTATACTGACTTGACATTGTGCTTATGTAATATGTTTAAATTCCCCTGCCATGAGATTTCATGTAGTTCCAATAAGTTGATTTTGAAAAGTTTATATGTAGAAACTTGGAAGCTTTATGGAGATGCTATTTGGTGGGCGCTATGTACTCCTTTTGATGTCGCTTTTCTCAATTTACTGTGGACTGATTTACAATGAATTCTTCTCTGTTCCTTTTCACATATTTGGTGGGTCTGCTTACAGATGCCGAGATAAAACTTGCAGGTAATTGTTATTTATATCTTTTAGATTAATTTTGAGCAGAATCCTTAGATGCTATAAGGAGCAGGCTTGGTTTTTACTTCATTTGATGCCCTTATTGATTGATAACTTGATAGAAGTTTTACATTTATGGATAGAGTGGTTCTAAATAGCCCCCACTATTTTTCCAACACCCATTTTTAACATTTTTACTATAATATCCTTAAGAACAAATCCTTAATGCACCCATGATTACCGCCCTTAAAAAAAAAATCAATTGGCAGAACGCAAAATGTTTCTTCTTTCATTTTTTAAACCTGAACACAGAATGAGTAAAATCCTGAGATGTTATGTTTGCTCTTATCAGTGATGCGCACTCAGCTGGTTTATTCAAATATCGAGATCCATATCCATTTGGCGTTGATCCCAGTTGGCGTGGAAGTCGTTCAGAACTGCCTTTTCTAAACTCTCTTAAAATGAAGATGTCTATCTTGTTGGGTGTGGCCCAGATGAACCTTGGAATTATATTGAGTTACTTTGATGCACGCTTCTTTCGAAGCTCACTGGACATAAGGTGTGTCCTCACTCTTTTCACCTCTGACTATATCCGCTTCTTCACCTACTTTAAATTGCCTTTTGCATTTAGAGTGAAGAGACTGAAGTTGTTTTTGCATCTTGGTGTCTAGGTATCAGTTTGTGCCACAGGTGATCTTTCTTAACAGCCTTTTTGGGTATCTTTCGCTTCTTATCGTTATCAAGTGGTGCACTGGTTCTCAGGCAGACCTTTATCATGTAATGATATACATGTTTTTGAGTCCCACTGATGACCTTGGTGAGAATCAATTGTTTTGGGGCCAGAGACCACTTCAGGCATGATCTTCCCTCTTTTATCTATTGTGGAGATGCTTAAAATGTTATATTATTTTGTCTGTAGTAAATATTGAAATAAATTGATGTTTGACTTTCGCAGATACTATTGTTGCTTTTGGCTTTAGTTGCAGTTCCATGGATGCTCTTTCCAAAACCTTTTATTTTAAGAAAGCAACATTTGGAGGTAATTTGGTGGTTGAGTTGTCTTGCATTTAATTTTTTCGTAGAAAGCGTCTCTTAATATTTTGACATCTCTGACTATATTTTCAGAAATAGTGCTTATGTTTGTGGGTGGTACTTTTAGGCTCTCTTAAATTTCTCTGACTTCTTTTAAAATGGACAGTTTTGCCATGTTTTGAATAAACTGAAACATAAGTTTGTCCGGCTGAGTGTGTGATATATATTTTTTCATCCTATCTGTATCTAATTTGATGGATCTTGTCCTTCTTGTTAAACCATATTTTTGATACTCTAAGTAGCATACTTGTCCCAGCCCTAGCTTATAAATTGTTACACATCTAACCATTTGTCGAAGGGAAGAGTACACATACACATCTAATTTCTCTTGTTCATCTAAGTAAATATTGAAGGTACCTCTTTCTAGTGTGAAATGTGCGTAATACCATGCATGTCTATATGCTGTGTGTATACAAGTCTCATGTTCAAATTTCATTCTGTAACATATTCTTAACCCCTTAATTTATCCCTGGTGATTTCAAGGAACCCTGTGGGTGCCATACTCTTCTTATGCATGCCCAATAATTTGTAGAGGCAATAATGATTGCTGTGCAAGCTCTGTAGAAAATCTGTATTAGGGGCACCATACAGAAGGAACTTTTATGATCAGTGCCTTCTCTCTCACAGCATGACCCATTCTTGGTCAATCCTCTCCATCTTTTCCAACCTTTTGGACTAGCCCCTTTTAGCTTTTTGACATTGATATTTATTTCCTAGAAAATTTTAGAACTTGATATTTTTTCCTTGGGATATTTTCTAGAGATTTCAAGGTCGTGCTTACGGGATACTTGGCACCTCTGAGATGGATCTTGAGGTGGAACCTGATTCTGCACGACAACATCATGAGGAATTCAATTTTAGTGAGATATTTGTGCACCAAATGATACACTCAATTGAGTTTGTTCTCGGTGCAGTCTCAAACACGGCATCATACCTTCGATTGTGGGCTTTGAGGTACTGCCATGAATTTTTGTTGAATTTAACAAATGTCTGTTGTATTATGTGTTTACCTGATAACTGTCAACTGATATTGCAGCTTGGCGCACTCTGAACTATCTACTGTTTTCTATGAGAAAGTCCTCCTTCTTGCCTGGGGGTGAGTTTTTTATATTTTATCTTGTGGCATCTGTTTCTCTGCCTTGTGAATTTTTGCTATTTCATCTTCTCTTTATTTCTTGCTGTTTATATATCTTCATATTCCTTCGTCATTGTTTGCATGCAGTATGAACCATGGCATTATATTCCTTCATTTCTTTGTGCCCACTACAAATGTAAAGTGATAGCTTGATTGGACGCCACTTACTACTCATGTTAACATATTCACATTGTATTGCATACAGTGCAAAGTGAGCAGGGGGTATTAATAGATCTATTTCTTTGATCGTAGAATTAGGCAATAATTATGCTTTCATTTCGGCAACTGAACATCCTTGCACTGCATGTGGAAATGTGTTAAGTTATCTATCTTTCGTGAAATTATCACATATTTATAGAACTCTGTTAAAGACTTGTATGGTGCAAGAAAACGCAGGCTAAAATATTAAACGGCTAAAATATTAAACTGGATCCTTGATAGATCAATTTTCAATACTGTTTGCCAAGTCTTCAACACCATGCTCTTTTCCGGCACACACAGTGATTATGTTTATAAATCTATGACATCTTTTTATGGAGTGCATTTATTAGTGTAATTGTGCAAAAGCTTGTGTAAGTGGGCCCTACTTACTGATGTGTGAGAAAGTTTGACTTGGGAAAAAGGGAAATAGATATGCAGTCAACTTAAACAAGCACTAAACTTAATAAATTAGATCCTTGTCGTGAATATTGGTAATGGAAGTGGGAATGTGCTAAACATGTATTACTCAGTAGTATGTTCTTTTATTATCAGTAATGATATGCAAGTGACAATTATTACAGGTACGACAACCTTGTTATCCGGTTAATAGGTCTGGTGGTTTTTGCCTTTGCCACTGCCTTCATATTGCTCATGATGGAGACTCTCAGTGCTTTTCTACATGCACTGCGTCTTCATTGGGTGGAATTTCAAAACAAGTTCTACCATGGGGATGGCTACAAGTTCAAACCCTTCTCTTTTGCCGCAATAAATGATGATGAGGATTAGTTTTATCATATATATCCTTCCGTTTTGGATTTATTTTTGGGAGAAAGAAGAGTATGAATGGGGGCGGGAGTATTTTCAACTATAGAAGCTGCATAAAATGGACATCTATATAATACCTTTTTGGCTGGCAAGAGGATTTCTGCTTATTTTACTCTAACATTATGCTGCACGACATTGACGTAGAATAGAAACATGAAATCATGGCTCATATTCTCTGGAGTCTGGAGGTTTAAGTATACATGGGTTTCTGCTTACGGTCAGTCGTGTTTAACTTCCTTCGGAGAAGTTTGTATTTTAATTTTCATTATTATTCTTTTACACAAAGGAGAAAAAGTAAAGAGGGCAAGGCAGGGTTGGGAACTTACTGTAAAGAGGAGTTGGGGAATCTTTATACTGTACCATGTAGCTTTTGCATTTTTTTTTTTTTTTTTTAACAGAATCACACTAGTTAGTGTGGACATTTCGGGGAATTGGGCCTATTTTTAAAATTTTGTGTTATCCTAATGTAATGATTAGTTACCCAATTATACGGTTATCCTATAGAGAGTTTCAAGTTGAATAATTTCAATTGCCCCTCGTTTAAGTCGTATGATTGGTAAATAAGGAAGCTTCGGTGTAGGACCAAGTGATTGTTCTTTCGTTTTAAGAGGGAAGTTTCTTCTCGTTATGAAATTGTTCTGTCTTCGATGACAAAGTTTGGTCCAAAATCCAAATTATGTGTATAAAACTGTGATTTCAACTAATATGGTTGTTTATCTGTCGTTTATATGTCAACATAATATCGATTATATGAAAGTAACATACTCATCCCATGGCTGCATTCATTAGAGAGATAATAGGTGTTTGGTTTGGGGTTATGTGAGATTACTGGGTTTAAGTTATCTTATATTATTTGATTACCATGTTTGATTGTTAAGTAATATAAGATACCGGTAATCTTTAAATACCAATAGTGGTTACTATTGATAATATTGTAGGTAATCTGATTACCTCTATTTTCTTAGGTATTCTAAGATTATTGGGGTTATCTTTTTTTATTATAATTTTATCCTTTATTAATAAAATTTTAGGACAATAATGACCTTATTTTTAAATTTATTTACATGAATATGACTTTTACTATTTCACCTAAATTAATTAACTTTTTGGACAAAATTACCCTTGAATTCAAAACAAATTGCAGTCCACCCAAGTCACCACCCCCACCCACCTGCCGTCGGCAACTATCGTTGCAGCTGTCGGAACAACGCACGGAAGGCTCAAAATGGTCGTTGTGCACCGATATGGCCATTTTTGGCTAGATCCGTCGATCTGGTCGTCAATGGCCAGATCTAATTTGATTGTCAATAAATTTGTGGCCGTTAACTGCCATCGATCTGGCCGTTGACGGCCATATTAGATATGGCTGTCGATGACCAGATTAGATATGGCTGTCGATGACTAGATCTGTCACGTTTGGCCATTTTCGGCCAGAGATCTGGCTGGAAAACAGAGGTCATATCCTTCCTTCCGTGCGTCATTAGGTTGCCGATTGCCAACGGCCTGCGGTGGTTTCCGGCGGCCGACAGTGGTTGGGTTGGTGGGGGTGCTTTGTTGATTTTTCAAACTTTTATTATGAGGTTGTTTTTGCTAAGTTTTTAAATGCAGGGAGATTATAATAATCCAAATAATAATTAATATTAAAAAATAATATAATAATAATATTTAATTTGAGGACAATTCAGTAATTTAAATAACATATCCATCAATTTATTCCTCCCAACCAAACATATTAATGTAACATACCTACCAATTAACCGAACACATTTTCTTAAAGATTCTTAGTAATCTTCAAGGTAATCTAATTTTCTAGTAATCCAACGTTTCTTAAACCAAACACACTCTTAAAGTTTACCTTTGTTAACTTGAATTCAATTTTGGCAGTAGTTTTGTTCGGTATAGGAGAGTGTAAAAAGATCTGAATTCAAGTAGAACGGGAAATACTCTTATGCTTTGGTAAGCTGTAAATTGTTAGGTAAACAGTTGAGCATTATTGGTATAATGATTTTCAGGTAAAAGACGGAAAATTCAATTAAATGTGTTGGATGTTTAAAGCCCAAACAGACTGCCTTGCCCCATGGCCATGGGATTCAAACAACATGCTTTTTACATGCCTTGCGTGGAGGGAGCCACATTGACATTGGAAGTCTTAAAGAATGAAGACACGAGTAGAATGGAGACACCAAGCCACCAATAAAATCGTATCAAAATTCAAAATCACTTTTCCTTTATAATATTCAATTCAACACTCTCCAATTACGCATTGTATGATGTAAAAATTGGTCCCAGCAAACATAAAGCTTTTGTTTCATACTCCGTAGATATAAATTCCATGGTTATCTTGTCCACATGGATGATTCTTTTTTGGACAGTATTACATTTATAATCTAATCTCATAAATATTCTTTCATAATTTTGATGTGATAATTTATAATTAATCAGTTAATAATAAATTCTATCTGCCTAATAATGAATACTATCTATCTAATTGTGAACTGATCAATTACGAATTATCACATCGAGATTATGAGAAAAAATTTATAAAATTAGGTTGTGTGTTAATTTTTATTGATTTTTTTTAACCAATTACATGTTACCTACTCATCTCTCTTTCCTACGTTAAAAGATAAATAAGAACCCAAATACGTATAATCAAATTTTTTAGAAGTATTAATTAATACTTTGCGGTAACGGTATACAGCAGAATCACCAATTAAAATTCCGACAATGAATTAATGATCTTTTTTTGGGTTCATTTATATATGATCATTCGGCGTGGTTCAAAGTAACTGGACATTCTTTAATTGTACTCTCAAAAGTGAACCAACGCCCACGGTCTTCTCCTCCGTGAAACCTCAGAAACTAAAGAAATAAAAAGAGCTTCCTGTGAGTTAAATTCTGCTAAATGAAGACGAGTTTTAAGGAAACTAGAGATGGATTTACAGAGATTTACAGGAGAGAGATGGGCTTGTCTCGGCCCAGAGACGTAACTCGCCGGCTTTCTTCTTCAGAGGTTCTAAAATTCTTCCTCTTTCTTTATTAATTAATTTTGATCACTCAAGCCATGATAGACAGTACTAAAATAATCAGTCTCTATCAATTTTTTTTTTTTTTTTTTTTTTTCTGGTTTGGATTGCAAGAAGTGAATGTTCAAGTGTGTTATGTTGGATCAGTTTATACGGATTATTGGTTTGATTTGGATTAAAAAATGGATTATTAATTGAACACTGGAATAAAAGTAGAATCAATTCGTAACAGTGTAAATTGCTTTTTTGTCACTACAAACGAGATTTTGGACTTTGTGTTGTAAGCTTAATTGAATAATTTTCAGTTACTTCTTACAAAGTTTTAGTGGAAGATTCATGTGATATTATGATAGGCTTTGTAATATTCAGTTTGGGCATGTTTTGAGATTTTACACGCATCAAACAGGACCATAAACCATCAAGATTGAGATCTGGTGTTAGAGATCGTTGGGTTGAGACTGATTTTAGTTTGGTTTTTGTTTTAGGGGCTGGTGAAGCAAATTGATCTTCATGGGAAGTTAAATGGTCATGAGGGTTGTGTGAATGCAGTAGAATTCAACTCTACTGGGGACCTTCTTGTGTCAGGTTCTGATGACAAACATGTTATATTTTGGACTTGGAAAACTGGAAGCAAATTGTTCTCATATCCTTCTGGACACTTCGATAACATATTTCAGACACGAATTATGCCTTTCACTGATGATTGTAAAATAGTAACTTCTTCTGCTGATGGCCAGGTGAATACATACATATATACTTTCATCACCTTTTGCTATGATCTTGCTTTCTTGTGGATGTATATTATATATATGCATAGGTGAGTATCTGCTGATTCTCTGATCTCATCTTGGCATTTGGTTTATTCTTACTTCTACTGTTTTCTTTAAACTTTTTTGGTTTATTTATGTAAATTGTTCTACAGCTTGTGTTGGATGTGCTTTAACAGCTTCTGACTCTCTGTTTATAAACTCTCACTCTTCAGTAGCGAATATTTCTTGAAATGTGAAACCCACGGTAAAATCAAGCATCTAACATATAGTTCTTCATACGGAACCTTGAAATTGAGCTTTCTGTAATAATTTAAATTTTCAGAATTATTAATCTTAGCAATGATTTTTTAGATTCTGTCTTGCGATGCATACTCATAGAATTGATGCATGCTTTTAATGATATGAACTTTATGCTTTTCTTGTAGGTGAGGCTTGGACAAGTTTCAGAGGACGGCCAAGTTGATACAAAAAGGTTGGGGAAGCACCAAGGGCGTGTATACAAGCTTGCTGTGGAGCCAGGAAGTCCCTACATATTATATAGCTGTGGTGAAGATGGTTTCATCCAACATGTTGGTCAATTTTGTTTTCTGAGCCTTGTAAAGCCTCTCTTTCTTTTATATAGTTTCAGAGTTACACTTTTCTTTTCATTTTGCAGTTTGATCTGCGAAGTAATAGTGGTACAAGGCTTTTCTATTGCTCCTCATTCACAGAAAACAGCAAGCAGCCTCCAAATAGCATAAGGTTGAATGCTATGGTAATTGACCCGAGAAATCCTGTTTACTTTGCTGTAGGAGGTTCTGATGAATATGCTCGTGTTTATGACATAAGAAAATGTAAATGGGATGCATCATGTAGTTCAGATATACCTGTGAACACATTTTGCCCCTCTCGTCTGATTGGGAGTAATAATATTCATATCACTGGATTGGCTTACTCAAGCACAAGTGAACTGCTTGTCTCCTACAATGATGAGCTCATTTATAAGTTTGAGAAGAATATGGGATTGGGTTCCTCACCATTGTCCATACCTCGTGAAGACTTACAGAAGGTTGAAGATCCACCTGTTTACACAGGCCATAGAAATTCACAGACTGTTAAAGGAGTGAGTTTTTTTGGCCCCAATGATGAATATGTCTTAAGTGGGTCTGACTGTGGCCATATATTTGTTTGGAAGAAGAAGGGAGGTAAATTGGTACGGTTAATGTTAGGTGACCGGAATATAGTAAATCAACTTGAGCCCCATCCTCATTTGCCAATGTTTGCAACTTGTGGAATAGAAAGAAGTGTAAAGCTCTGGGCTCCCATGGCGAGTAATGTTCCTCCATTGCCTGACAATGTAGAAAAGGTACTATCTATAAAGATATTAGACACAAACATGCTACTGAATCTTATTTTCATTTATTTTATGTTTTCTAAATTTTATATGTTGGTGAGCAGATTATGGAGTCTAATAGGCAGGGAAGAGAGGACCATTCACGGATAAATCTTACTCCTGATGTTATCATGCATGTTTTGAGGCTGCAGAGGCGGCAAACTTTGGCATACATTGAAAGGAGATACAACAGAGCTGATGTTGAGAGTGATGATGAAGATGAAGGGGAGGCTTATGTTTTGGGATTTTCAGATAGTGATGCCTCTTCTGAAGGGGGTGGTAACTCAAGAGAGTGCAACATTAGCTAGTGTTCATAGTTTATTAAGTGAACCCAATTTTGGTTTTGTGTTTACTTGTATTAAATTTCCATGTACTAAAATAAAGACGGTTTACATTCTGCCTGGGGTCGCATCATGTTATGGTTTGATTGCTTGTATTTATTTTTCACATTTGAAAACTGGTTCTAAAAACATTTTTATCAAAAGTACACTTTACAAATTTTCATTTTTATTTATTCCCATTTGACATCTCATTAATAGTGGATGTATTTAATAAGCGAAAAACAAATAAGGAGATAAATGTTATATTAAATATGTTTGGTTAGATTATAATAAATTAGTAGATATAAATAATTGATATGTTTGGATGAGACCAATAAAATAATTATGGGAGAAGCCTTTTATTGAATTGTCTTTCTTTTTTAATATTATTATATTATATTATTAATAAAATTATTAATTAGTAGTAAAACTAAAACAAAATAATCTTACAATATACTGTGATTACTATTAATATTAAAGAATTACTGAAATATTTGATTACTTGACAGTTGATAGCCAAATATGATAATATGATATTATTGAAGTAATGGCGGATTACTCTCACCAAACACATCTTAAAAGATAACATTATTAGAGTAATGGGAGATTACTCTAACCAAACGCACCATAAAAGATGATATAGGATTACAGTAATATTATACACATAAACTTTTTTCATTAACTTTCTCTCACAAATTCGTGTCCTTCTTTTTTAATATTATTATATTATATTATTAATAACATTATTAATTATGGGTAAAATTAAAACAAAACAAGCTTAGAATATTTAAGAAATGGGTGGTGTTTAGATTATCCCTATATAATCTACCGTGATTACTATTAATATTAAAGAATTATTGAAATATTTTATTACTTGACAGTTGTCAGCCAAATATGATAATGTGATATTATTAAAGTAATGGGGGATTATTCTAACCAAACACATCTTAAAAGATGACATTTTTGTGGGAGATTCAGCACCCTAAGCAAACGCACCATAAAAGGTGATATAAGATTATAGTAATATTATACTCATAAACTTTTATTACTAACTTTCTCTCACAAACATGATATGTTAGCTCATAATTGGTTAGCTCGTAATGAGTTTAGCCTGACTAAATACGAACTGACTAATTGTGAACTGCTATATCAGCGTTTGAAAAAGAAAATTGTGAGAAATGTTTGTCAACTTATCTTTATTCAAAAGCAATCTCACATTGAGTAAATAAAATAAACCGAAATAACGGGAGGAAAGCGTGTGAGGGTTTAATTTAAAAAACTTTGATTGAATAAATTAATAAAGCGTTAAACGTGTGAGAGAGATGATGAATTTGCTTAATCGTATTAGATATATTTTATTAATTAATTAATAATTAATATGATTTATCTAAACGAAGACGGGTCCCGAATATGTGAGTTGACAACCGGGCCCATACCCAAACAAAAAGTTCAGGGTCAAAACTCAAAACATTCATTTCAATGGAAATTCAAATTTGTGCGGTAAATCTTCCGAAATACTATGGACGTTATTGTAAATTAAAAAAGTAGCCGTCACGTGATCACTGTCTTCCGTTCTCCAGTCTCTTTAACACATCCCGCTTGCCCAACGATTTGAAATTTGCTTTCACACATAAACTGAATAACCGATAAACATATCAGAGAAATGGAGCCGGATGACATGTCGTTTCTAGAGATCTCCGGCGAAGATGATTCGCTGTTGCCGCTGCAACAGAGCCCTGATGACGACGTAAAAAGTTTCAAAAAGACCTATTTCACTTGTTCGCCTATGCTGATCCCTAGATCTAACCGTTCCATTCATCCTCCTCCGCCTCTTGTCTCTCCAATTGGTTAGGGTTTCCACTTAGTATCTCGTTGTGTTTATTTCAATCTATTTCGCTTCTTGGATGCGGATTATTCGATTAATTTCGCTTAATTATGTTCACATTGTGCTGTGATTTATACAATTTTCCTTTTCTAGTTTTCTTTTTCTAAATTTTCTTTTATATTAGCGATTCTATTATTTTGCTCAAAAAATTTGTAATTTTTCTAAACAATCTTCCTGGATGATTTTGAATTCGTCATATTCTAGCGAATTAATTAGTTTTCAGCTTTATTACGAGCTATACGAAGGAATTTTGAGCTAATAATGGCGTGTTTCTCTACTGAATGCTAATTAGTTTAATTCATTAAATTTATATGAGAATGTCAACTAAATTACGTTATGATATTGCAGCGGGAGTGACGGGCAAGGAGAACGAAGAAGATCTAAATTTGTCAACACGCAGAGATAGTGTTAATGAAGAGAATACAAGTATGAACAAACCAGAAGTGCCAAAACTCAGTATGGAGCCGCAACGGATGAAGAGGAAGAAGAAGGGTGGAGGGTACAATTTGCGCAAAAGCTTAGCATGGAACCGAGCTTTCTTTACTGAAGAAGGTGGTCTAATAAGTGGTTTTGGATTTCATAATGTTTTATTTCCGCAATAGAAGTTGAAGATGGGAGGTAAAAAGTAAAAACACTTATTGGATTATACTTACTGGTTGTTTTTTTTTTTTTTTGTTGGTCAGGTGTTTTGGATCCTTCAGAGTTGTCTTTAATTAGTGGCAACATCGGTAAGTCTAGCGGGGAGATGTTGTCAGTTATCGATGAAGATAGGAGAGAATCGTTGGTGGGTGAATCAGAAGATTTGACAGCTCTTGAAGAAAATTTGTTTAAGAAGCCGCCAGCAAGTACTATAAAGGAGGATAGGAACAGTGCTGGTTCATCATTGCCAAAGAAGGTTGCATCGGCTGGAGTTAATCGTAATGTAGCATCTCCTTCAGCGGTTAGTGTTCTTATACTTGCTTGGGCTGCCGATGTTTTGCTTTTCTTTTTGACATTTTCTTGTCAGTTGAAAGTTGGGTCAAATGAAACTAATTCTAGTCGTGTTGAACATGTCCTCCTCAGGCCAAGCGAAAGGTGCTTTCAGCTCAAGATGTTAACAGAAGTGGATCTAAACGCAGTGGTTGTCCACGACCTGTTGCTTCATCTACATATCCTTTTGATAAAATTATACAATACAGTGGGAGAGTTTTGTGGTTACTAGAAGTTTACGTGGGCAGTTGGCCCTTGTTCTTTATCTATTAAATTGGAGAATATTGGCCTTAACTTCTTTGAACTGTGAAAAGACCTGCGAATGTGAGTACAACGAAAGCAGCAACTAAAGAATTAAGTGTGTCAAAGATACCAGTTCGAAAACCGGATCCCTCTGCGCATCCTGCAACTGTTATAAGCACTATTCCGGGTGTGAGCAACTTAAAAAGGAATCAGAATGTTCAACCAGGTAACTGAAGCATAAATCTTCTAATTTCGGGAGGGGTTTAAATTCTTATGCTAGCGGATATATTGGTTGAATTAAATTTCTCATTTGCACATCATAATGAACTTATGGCACCTGAAAAAGGAATAATTTCTTTAATATTATCATAATACTTATATAAATTTACAGTACAAATGTTATATACAATAGACACTAAGAAGAAACTTACTCACAGGAGCTCTTACATGAATACAACCTTGTATCAAAATTATTTACCACTTGGACACCTCACATCACTGTCTTATGCAAGCATTCAGCTTACTTTTAAATTTTATGACATTTCTTTCCCCTATGTTTCCCACTAACTTTTATTATTGCTTTTTCCTCGTACACAAACACTGGTTTGCTTGCATGATACAAGACCCGAGGCTTGTCTTATATAGGCTTTTAAGTCGGTTACAACCATTATTTTAATATTTTTATTCAAGACAACAATCAAATATGTATATCATGATTACTAGTTGTGTGAGATTTTTCTTTGTGCTTGTGGCTGAGATTGATTTGTGGGTGGCTTCTAGACTTCTTAAATGTCGACAGAGTAATCACATGACTGAGCTTTAATCATTGGATAGATCTATGACTCTGATGTTAGGGAACTTTTGATATATCAAGAGCTACCCATAGTATAGATTTCTTTTTCCTTGTTTAAAATTTCTTAATTGTGAGAGAGATATACCACAAGCCTTGGGTATTGTATTGACCAAACAAGAAAGTATAAGAACAAAGTGAGTAGTATAAGTTAGTGGAAGATATAGATGAGAGAAATGTCGTAGAAATTTCTTAGTGTGTTGAGTGTTTTGCACAAGTGAATGACGTGAGATATAAAGTGGTCAACAATTTTCATAAAGTGTTGATATATCAAGTGCTCTCTAGCATTACAGTCATAGATCTATCTTATGATTAAATTTTGGTCATGTGATTGCTCCACCGATATTTCTTGAAGTTACTCGCAAATCAATCTCAACCAGAAATATAAAGAAAATTTTCAAAGAACTTGTAATTATGAATTAGGTCTTGTATTGAGAGTAAAAAGTGAGAGAGTAAATAAAAGTTAATGAGAGATATAGGTAAGAGAAATATCATAAAAATTCAAAATGTATTTAGTGCTAACATAAGTGAGTGACGTGAGGTATAAAGTGGTCAAGAATATTCATTTAACTGTTATAGTACTCATATAAACACTCAAAGCGTGAGTGTGTTTCTTCTTCGTGTCTGTTGTATATTAAGGATTATAAATTTAACACCTTACTTCAAATTGTTTAACATTATGATTTGTCAATTGTCATATCTTTATCTGATGTTTTATGTGTTGTACAATACATTACTCTTTTCTGTAAAGTATAATTCAACGTTTACAACAGATGAAAATCATATATTCGCAATTGTTGCTTTGTTCTTTCTCAAACAGCAGTCAGTGTTCAAAGAAACATTGGACCAAAGAGTTCCTCAAAAAATTCTACAAGTGCTCGAAGCAATGCAAGATCTGGCTCGCAACCCAGCAGATCGGTAGTCGTGAAATCTTCTGTGCAACAAGTTAGAAGAAATGTGGTGAGAACTTGAAACATTTAGAAATGTTAAGCTTTTCTAAACCTATATTGTACGATGCTCTATGGCTGAACATGGTTATTATTATAAAATACTCCATTTAACCATGGAACGCTTGCATTATTTGTTTTGATTTATTTTCATTCCTACAGGCCAGCTCAGCATTGGAAATCCATTCGTCAACCAATTCACAACATTCTCTTATCACCAAAGCTAATGATGCCTCAAAGATCAACCCAGGTCCAGCTCTTCCAGCTTCTGGGCACTCATCAAACAACGATGATGGGAATTCCAACAAAATTGCAACTTCTTTTCCACCAAAGGCTCCCCGTAGTGGTGCAAACATGCAACATTTGCAACTGCAAACTGCAAAACCATCAGGTTTGCGGATGCCGTCGCCGTCATTGGGATTCTTTAATCAGGTAGACTCAAACAGATATTTTCAGCGATTTATAGAGCTGTGTGGCAAAGATTCTGATTGATATTTTTTGTTCTTTGATTCATGATAACTTGCAGTCAAAAACTTCCTCTGCACATAGTTTATTACAGAGAAGTAATAAAGCTTGCAATGTTCCCAAGTCCAACATTCCTAATTTGAGGAAATTTGATGCCTCTAATGTTATTCATGAGAGTCCTGTTCCTGTACCTGCGAAGATACCTGACATTGTTTCTGGCATGACAACAAGTGCAAATCTGAGAGTCTCAAGCTCAGTTACAGGATCCTCTTGTCCATCTAATCTTAATTCTGGTTCACTTGAAAAGACAAAATCCAACTTGCATGGAAATGCTACTCGAAAGGTGGAACTGAATGTCCCATCTAACTCTAACAGTTTCGACATTGTAAATAGCGAGCAAAGTTTACATATTTGCAATGATATTGATCAATCTCTGAAAACTGTGGATCGAAGAACAAATGAGAAGATTTCTCACGCAGTGGATAATGAACTACAGTGTAGTGATAATAGATTGCTCTTACTAAGTGCACCATCTGGCCAATTCATGAAAGATGAAGCTAAAGAGAGAGTTTCCAATATTTGCCCAATGAATATAGAATTGACTGGGTCTAAATTGGAGAATGATTATATTACGCCCCAACTTCAACTGGCAGTGCAAGTTCAAGGTGTTTTTGAGACAAAGGATATGATTGACAACAAATGTGAAGAGGGCAAAATGTGCAGTGCGTCAATTAAGGATCACAGTGCCTCTTCACAGTCACAATCTGGAGATGCCAATGGTACTGTTTTAGAGCCACAATCTGGAGAAGCCAATGTTTATAGTATTAAGGGCACTTCAAAACAGCATGATGATTTGTTAAGTTGTGCGCATGGTGTTAATGAAGAAATGATGAAGCAAGATGAGGAGACAATGCCTTCTACCCTGCAGGTTGATCAGATTAAAAGTGAGACACAAAGTCCATCAATAAATAATAACAGTTTTTCCAGGGAGAGTAGATCTTCAGAGTTTCAGAAGTGCACAAGGACAAAGGTTGCAAATTCCAGTCCAGAAGGAAAAGAATGCGTTGCTGGAGTTGATAATTTCTGTACCAAATCAGAAGCGCAGACAGCTGATGTCAGTCAATCAGTTGGAATGGGAAAAGCTGTTTTGGGCTCTTCAGCCTTGGATAATATGGTTGTTGATGTGAATGAAACTGTAATTGATGCTAATGGAAGTGAATTGAAAAGTTCTGGTGCTGTTTATTCAAAACAACTGACACAGCATGATAGTGGCTTTGATATGGCTGTAGAGCACCCACATGATGATACAAAGTCAGGTTTGATGGATCCAGATTTCAGGTGTGATATCAAACCCCATAATCAAACTACTTCTGGCATGTCACAAATGTTGGATAAATATCAAAAATCAGGTGTGGTAACCAATGGCAACACTAAAGTCCCCAGTGTTGAACATGAACTTGTAGAATACAAACAATGTAATTTATCAATAAAAAATTACCGTTCTGATTCTGAATTACAGCCTGGAGATGATATTTACTATTGCCAGCAAAATACATCAATAGTGCACAACAATCAGTTGAATTACACACATGTTGTCAACACTCTGTCCACTGAGGGGAACCAGATTCAAGAGGCTTATGATGAACTGTTGTTTGAGGAGTGCATGCCTTTTGAAAAGTCCAGAGAATCTAATTCTAGTGAAGTTGTAGATGTTTGTCTGGATGCTCCCAGCTGTTTTGGTAGAGAACCGGAAAGCCCTCATGCTCTATGTCAACATGAATATGTAAAGCAAACAAATGAAGAAGTTGCTGTAGTTGGTGATACATTTAAGCATTCACTTGTGGAAGATGCCCAGATGCTGGTTTTAGATGGGAGTTTATCAGTTGATAGCTGCAACTGTAACTTCACTTCTTCAAAAGTGAAGGATAAGTCCTCTGTGGATGTTGATGATGTACATTGTTCTGACCCTGTAGCTGCACAAGCTTCCTTAGATGCTCATGGATTGTGTTTGGGTGTCACGCTGATTGTAAATAACTGTTCTTCTGAAGAGCTGCCGGAGAGGAATGTCTGTGGAAGTGTCATGGATGTTGTTTTACACCAATTTGATGCTTGTGTAAATGAAGTAAGTTCTGTTGTATGTATTCAGGCAGCCACAGCAGTTAAGTATGATGGTGTTGATGAGGACCCGAAGGCAGAGTACCCATCTGAGGAGGGTAAAATGTCAGGATCTGTTGAGATTGAACCATCGGTCAAAAATCTTGAGTGTTATACTGATACGAAGTTCAGGCATGATGATGATGAACTTAGTTCTCCTACTTGGTCATTGACATGTGGTGTGTCTTTGAATATGAATGAAGGTCAAAATTCATTAACAGCAAATACTTGCGATTCTCATACATTTTGTTTGCAGAACAAAGAATCTATGTTTTCGGTTGAAGCAAATCAGTCAGTGTCAGGCATAGAAAATATAGAAGTTGACATATTGAAGAGTGATACTTTTGCAGAGGAAGCTAGTATTTCTCAAAACAATGAGAGTTCTACTGGTGAAATGCAGCTTGAGCTAGATGAGAAGTATGTCACAGATGATGTAACAATGTCATTAACTGGAAGCGTCTTTCAAGATGTAAATGCTGATTCAATGAAGATTGATATTTTGCCAGAAGAAGTTAGTATAGTTCAAAGTGATGGCAGAGCTATTGTTGAAATGCAGCATGAGTCAGAAGTTGCAACGATGTCATTAACTGGGAGTGTCTTACCGGAAGTAAATGTTAATTCAATGACGAGTGATGTTTCACCTAAGGAAGCTGAAACCATCATTTCTCAAAAGAACAGCAGTCCTAATAATGAAATCCACCATGAGTTGGATGATGTCATAAAAGATAAGGATACAACAAAACTTCTGTAAGTATTTAGTTCCAATTTATTTTTTCTGATTTTGCTTTCATGCTTTAAACTTATTCCTATTTTCATTTAGAGAAATGTTTAGTTGCTTCTGAACCTGGCTTTTGTATGCAGTAATAAATCTGGGAATGATAAGAAGCAAGACAATCTAGTGATAAAACCTCCTCCACATGCTATTCCATTTTCTGATGAGTGGTTAGCTGCATTTGAAGCTGCTGGAGAGGTACTATCAATTCTCTTTACCTGTCGAACTTAGATTCTGTCTTTGATCTAGAGTTGCAAGGCAGTACAATTACTGGTTGCTCTACTTAGAAATCGTATGCATAACCTCTAGGTCTGGGACACTCATGGCAACTGACTGGAACAAAATTAAAATATCTTAAAGTTTACATATCTTGTTTTGAAGATAAGATGTTTATCATCCTGCCTTGTTTGAATACGTAGTGAAGAGGAAACTGAAACCGCATTATTTTTGGGTTGAAAAATCCTCCAATTTGATAGCATAAGATTAGCTGGTGGGTTTGTGCATGTGACAGTTAAAGCCAGGAATTGCTCTTCCAATGGCATTTCATGATGTTCAGTAGCCTCAAAGCTACCCATTCAAATTCTAAGTTTGATAATCATAAATTTTACTTCTTTAAAGATCAAAATCTAGGCATTTTACACAAATATTTCTGCAGGAAATTCTAACCATGAAAAGAGGTGCTGTGCAACATTCACCCCCAGACAAGACTCAAAATGAACCTGGTCCGTGGTCGCCGGTACGTTGCTAGTTTTTCTAGATTTTCTCTTTTGTTGTGACATATAAATTTGTTTGTGGTAGTTTGATATGAAATGTAAATAATTTCAGGTGAAGCGAAAGAACAATCAAGGAATTGGCCCATATGACTGTACAAAATTTACCAACAACATCCCTCCATCCAGTTCCTAATTAATCAGACTTGGGTTTGCTAATGCCTAATCATTCTTTTGTCACTAACATCGTGAGTGATTTTGAACCACGCCATATTCTGAGCAAATATTATTGCCTGAATTATGGGTTGCTCTGATATTTGTACCAAAGCAAATTTGTTTCCTCTTTATCCACGCAACCATCTACAAAGTGTAAATTTTGTTCTATTGACTTGTATATTCTGAATTCTGTCAGCACATTTTAGACAAGTTTTAATTATTGAAAAATAATCAGAATTTAAAAAAAAAAAAAAAAATACTCAGTGTTTTAAAACCTAGATCGGCCGGTTGAATGGGAACCTAGGGCTTTCACTGAGTTGGATTATTTGTTTTACTATTCACCGAAAACCCTATAAATTGGGATGATGATTAGCGAAAAATTAAAGGTTGGGATGTTGGGGTTTTTGAAGAGAAAATGTTGGTGAGTGTAATGGTGGCGACAGAGTTGGTTTCTAGTGAGTGAATCGATCAAAAATCGAAAAAAAAAGTGGCGGCAATAGTTGGCTTTTGTCGGTCATTGGCGAGGCTAACGAAGGTGAGGTGAGGTAGGTTTTGGTCAAAAGATTGAGAGGAGTATTTTCGTGGTGATGAGGGGGGTTGTCGATGCTAGCGTCGATGAGATCTGGCCTAGAATGTCGATGTTGACGTCGATAAGATCTGGCCGAAATCGAATCGATTTCTACTAGATATTAGATAGATTTTCTGGGGAATGAGCTCAAGGGATGATTGGAATTGTATTTGGTATGTTGTCGTTGCCAATCAATCGACAGTCGATTTGTATTTGGAGTGTGTTTGCTAAATATTTCAAACCTATAGGAACTTAAAATTTTTAGGGGTATATTTACTAAATTTTAAAATTTTTGTCACCTAGTTTGACCGTCGGTCAAACCGAGACTTGACAACTTTGTCGGGTTTCACCTTGGGTTTTTATTAAAACATGGTTGGGAATTATAGAGTAGATCTAGTTTATTAGGAATTGGATGTCTGTTGGAAGTGTTTGATTGACAAGTATGAATATAACTCAAGTTAAATTAAAAAAAGAATTACATAACAAGAAACGTACGTACAAACTTGTATGTATTAATATAGGATTAAATAATTGCATGGTCACGCAGAGGAGACAAAAGTGTAGATTTATTCGCAATAAGAGTTGCATTAATTTGAATGTTAACGACAGTGTTTAAGATTCTGTATGAGATTTTACATATCAATGTTTAATTTTAATGTTACTTAAACTAATTGATCAATCTTTTTAGATTTTTCTAGATGATCAAACATTATTGTAATTATATATGTTTAATCCAATTGATGAATATGATCACCATTTTTTATTGCGAATAAATTGATGGAATAATAGTTAATCCAATAACTTAGCAAAAATTGAAAAAAAAAAAAAAAATCTTATTTTAAATGCCAACTACCAAAAAATCCGAAAAATATTTAGTATATGTTTGAGACACATCAAGGATTAAACCATATTTTTATTGAGTAATACTATCCTTACAATCTAATCTTGCAACCTTAACGTGACATCTCATAATTAGTCAGCTCATAGATGAGTCTCGCCTACTCATTTGCGAGTTGATCAACTGTGAACTACCATGTCAGGTTGTGAGAAAAAGTTTGTAAGATTGGGTTATGAACCAATCTTTATTCATTTTTATTTGGCTCATGATCATTCCATAAATATAGGATATAGGATATAGGATATGGAGGTGATTCATAAATATAGGATATAGGATATAAGATATGGAGGTGATTCAAGGGTGGAGATTGAGACTAACATTGCCAGTACTATGAATACTTGTGCTACTCAATATCTAACTCTTAAAAAAAAAAAAATCCTGCATATAATTAAGATGAAATGCAACAACCAGTGAGAGAGTAAATACGTTATATATATATATAAAAAAAAAAATTTCTCTCCTTTAAATTTAGGATTGTAATTTTAAAATTTATAAAATCAATAATAATAGATTACTCATAAATAAAGAAGTGTTTAATACAAATAGAAATCAGGAAAGATTTGATCTCTTTCACAATATTCCGGTCTCAATTGGGAAAACAATAAACACCGACAAGAAATTAAAATACATAGCTTTACTAGGACTTATTTAACCTAATTCTATAAATACCCACCACTTACTCTTCAAAATTAAAATACCATTGAAATCACTCTCTTGACCCTTCAAGTTTCAATTTTTGTTTTTTATAATTAAAAATTTCTAAAAAACCCCTAGGTTTGCTAATTTAATTAAACACCCCCATATATAAAATGTTTGTTAAATGACAAAAACAACCCACCACCCCCAATGCCAGATTCCGGCCACCATCGTCGGAATCTGGCCGGAAAATGTATTACGACACAGATCCGTCGGATCTGTGTCGTAACGTGCCGATCTTTCCTTTTCCGGTCAGATCCGCCACGGATCTTGCCAGAAAAGGCAAGATCTGGCCGTCGAAGCAGCAGCCAGATCTGGCCTTCGACGCCGCAGATGGAGTTTTGCGGCGTCGACGGCAGATCTAGCCTAGATCTGGCCTTTTCCGGCCAGATCAGCCAGGATCTGGCCGAAAAAGGCCAGATCGAGCGTTACGACACAGATCCGACGGGTCTGTGTCGTAACGCAACTTTCGGCCAGATTCCGGCGGTGGTGGCCGGAATCTGGCACTTGCCGGTGGGGGTGTTTTTGTTATTTTATAAAAACTTTTATATATGGGGTATTTAGTGAAATTTGTAAACTTAGGGGGTTTTTTGAAATTTTTAAATTTATAAAAAACTAAAATTCAAACTTTTAAGGGCATTTAGTCTTTCACTATTAATAAACGTAATAAACAGAAATCACTAACAGAACATGACGGAAAGTACCTATTGTCATTTCAAAACCTTTTGGGTACTAACTTGTCGTTCTCCCTTAATATGATTTTCTAAATGAAGACGGGGCCCGAAAATATGGAGTTGACAACCCGGCTCATACCCAAACTTAAAGTTCGGGGTCAAAAGCATTTATTTCAATGAAAATTCAATTTGTGCGGTAAATCTCCGAAATACTATGGACGTTATTGTAAATTAAAAAAGTAGCCGTCACGTGATCATTGTCTTCCGTTCGCTGTCTCTTTAAACACTCCCGCCTGCCCAACAATTTGAAATTTGCTTTCACCCCAAACTGAATAACCGATAAACAATCAGAGAAATGGAGCCGGATGACATTGTCGTTTCTAGAGATCTCCGGCGAAATGATTCGCTGTTGCCGCTGCAACAGAGCCCTGATGACGACGTAAAAAGTTTCAAAAAGACCTATTTCACTTGTTCGCCTATGCTGATCCCTAGATCTAACCGTTCCATTCGTCCTCCTCCGCCTCTTGTCTCTCCAATTGGTTAGGTTTCCACTTAGTATCTCGTTGTGTTTATTTCAATCTATTTCGCTTCTTGGATGCGGATTATTCGATTATTTCGCTTAATTATGTTCACATTGTGCTGTGATTTATCAATTTTCCTTTTCTAGTTTTTCTTTTCTAAATTTTCTTTTATATTAGCGATTCTATTATTTTGCTCAAAAAATTTGTAATTTTTTCTGAACAATCTTCCTGGATGGATTTGAATTCGTCATATTCTAGCGAATTAATTAGTTTTCAGCTTTATTACGAGCTATACGAAGGAATTTTGAGCTAATAATGGCGTGTTTCTCTACTGAATGCTAATTAGTTTAATTCATTAAATTTATATGAGAATGTCAACTAAATTACGTTTGATTTGCAGCGGGAGTGACGGGCAAGGAGAACGAAGAAGATCTAATTTGTCATCACGCAGAGATAGTGTTAATGAAGAGAATACAAGTATGAACAAACCAGAAGTGCCAAAACTCAGTATGGAGCCGCAACGGATGAAGAGGAGAGAAGGGTGGAGGGTACAATTTGCGCAAAAGCTTAGCATGGAACCGAGCTTTCTTTACTGAAGAAGTGGTCTAATTGTTTTGGATTTCATAATGTTTATTTCCGCATAGAAGTTGAAGATGGGAGTAAAAAGTAAAAACACTTATTGGATTATACTTACTGGTTGTTTTTTTTTTTTTTTTGTTGGTCAGGTGTTTTGGATCCTCAGAGTTGTCTTAATTAGTGGCAACATCGGTAAGTCTAGCGGGAGATGTTGTCAGTTATCGATGAAGATAGGAGAGAATCGTTGGTGGGTGAATCAGAAGATTTGACAGCTCTTGAGAAAATTTTTTTAAGAAGCCGCCAGCAAGTACTATAAAGGAGGATAGGAAAGTGCTGGTTCATCATTGCCAAAGAAGGTTGCATCGGCTGGAGTTAATCGTAATGTAGCATCTCTTCAGCGGTTAGTGTTCTTATACTTGCTTGGGCTGCCGATGTTTTGCTTTTCTTTTTGACATTTTCTTGTCAGTTGAAAGTTGGGTCAAATGAAACTAATTCTAGTCGTTGAACATGTCCTCCTCAGGCCAAGCGAAAGGTGCTTTCAGCTCAAGATGTTAACAGAAGTGGATCTAAACGTAGTGGTTGCCCACGACCTGTTGCTTCATCTACATATCCTTTTGATAAATTATACAATAAGTGGCAGAGTTTTGTGGTTACTAGAAGTTTACGTGGGCAGTTGGCCCTTCGCTCTTTATCTATTAAATTGGAGAATATTGGCCTTAACTTCTTTGAACTGTGAAAGACCTGCGAATGTGAGTACAACGAAAGCAGCAACTAAGAATTAAGTGTGTCAAAGATACCGTTCGAAAACCGGATCCCTCTGCGCATCCGCAACTGTTATAAGCACTATTCGGGTGTGAGCAACTTAAAAGGAATCAGAATGTTCAACCGGTAACTGAAGCATAAATCTCTAATTTCGGGAGGGGTTTATTCTTATGCTAGCGGATATATTGGTTGAATTAAATTTCTCATTTGCACATCATAATGAACTTATGGCACCTGAAAAGGAATAATTTCTTTATATATCATAATACTTATATAATTTACAATACAATGTTATATACATAGACACTAAGAAGAAACTTCCTCACAGGAGCTCTTACATAATACACCTTATATCAAATTATTTACC